GGAAATTCATCCAATGACTTCTCCCGCCTGGGTGAGGCGGGAGGGAGTGTCAGACTCTTACTGACTAAAAACCACCCCGTTCCTACACCTGCACTTCGAACCGGAGCCCCGGCAACCCGTTAAGTCTTCCGCGGCTCCGTATCGGCATCAGCCTTGTTAGGCCCCATCTGTGGTGGTCTGATGGCTCCTAGAGGCGCGCGCGGAACGCGACGCGCCGTACGCACGGGCCTGGTTCTGGTCGGGCGGCGAGTCACCCATGCTCGCCGTCCGCAGACCCGTGCTTACGGTGGCCGGAGATCGTCTCGCGATCCCCGACGCCCGGAGTGTCTCTCGCGACGGCCGGGTCGTGAGGAGGTTCGTTCCCTCACGCGCTCCGCCTCCTCCTTAGCTAGCATGACTGCTTCGCAGAAGGAGGAGACGGCATCCCAGTCCCCCTCGCTCCGTACCATGGTCTGAACCAGAGCCGGACGCGAGAGGTCGCCGTCGCCGATCACATTCCTGAGGACACGGCGGTGCTCAGTCCACGCAGGACACACCGCCACCGTATGCTCCACCGTGTCCTCCGGGCGATCCTCGCAGTGATGACACCCGGGCGTTTCCTCCCGCCCAATCCGAAACAGGAACCTACCGAAACTTCCGTGTCCGGTAAGCACCTGCGTCAGGCGGTAGGTGAGGACGCCGTAGCGTCTCTCAAGCCACTCCTCAAAGAGGGGACTTACCGCTGCAATGACAGCGAGCCCAGCCTTCGGTTGCGACAGTCGTTGCTGCCATTCCGCCATGAGATCACGCCGGAGCTCATCCCGCCACGCATTAATCTGGCGCGGCAGCGGAGTTTCGCCCCGGCGACGTGCCTCCGCGCGCAAACAAAACACGCGCGCGAACACCTTCGCCTCCAGATCCCACGGCGGTAATCCGGCAAGGAGGTTCGCCGCCTCCCCGGAGATCGTGCGATATCCGCGTATCAATCGGATCGCCATGACCCTCTGTGATGTGAGCAGCGCCCGAGCGGGCCGCCGCATCAGGTTCGGCGCCCACACAGGGGCGCCGTAGAGGGCCATGGACCGCACGACCCCGGCGTATAACCTCCGGCAGGAGGCGTTTGGCCCCCCGAGGTTGGGTAGGAGGCGCTTAAGCGCCGCCCCCGTCCTTTCCAACTTAGGAGCCAAACGTCGGAAATGCTCCACGAAGTTCCACCGACTGTCGAGGACGAGTCCTAGATACTTCATCGTCGTCTCGACGCCGATGGTAACTCCTCCCGCCGTACCAAATTGAAACCTGCAGACTAAAAAGTTACTACATTTACTCGAATACCTTGTTAGTAATGAAAGAAAGAAAAACCATTTATTACGCTACGACACACAACAAGAATACAGGTACACACAAAAAGCCCATGGTGCGTCGCAGCGCAAAAGTCTGGAACAGTCGTAAAAAAACTGAAAATTAATAAAATGTCTGCTAATAATTGCCTGTAGTTAACAGCTCAGTCGAGATACTTAAGGAATAATAAATAACCTTTATTCTAACTACACAAATCTTAGAATAGAACAAAAATCATTACTTATAATGCATTCTTAAAAGATTGCGATGACATATTGAGTCAGTCACCCTCCGCCTTCTATCGCCCTAAGCACTATTGATTTCCTCGAGTTTGCTTGTACACATAACTACACATCAAGCTATGAATAACCAGTATAAACTGACCATTTAATGTTTGGAAAGGTCATACAAAGCGGGACCATGATAAAATGGTCATTATAGCTTTACGTGTCGTTGTTTGTACACTCGTACAAAGGGCTCGTACACAAAACTGCGAAAATGTGCGATCTCCCTCTACGAATCGCAAGACCTTGCGAATTGATTCGCATCGCGCAACAAAATGCTATCTTCTTGTTTATTTTTCATCCATGTCACGACCTAGTTTTCAATTTAAAATACGTTTAGTACGATTGACAGTCGTCGAAGGAATGGTCACCCTGGGCCGCCTTGTCGCACGAAATCGCATCGCAGCAATTCGCATCGTAATTTTTTGCGTTGCGAATTCGCATCGCAGTTTTGTGTACGAGCCCTAAGACGACTAAGCATCAAAACGTATACCAGCTCACGATAATTGGATTTGCGACAAATAATATGGAAGAAAAATATTACTGTCCTCTTTCCGTGTTACTGGGCAGAGAAAATGTTGATCGATGCGAGAAGATGTAGCAACATTGTGTTTTTTTTACCTATATTGAAATTTATCTCCGGAGTAGAAGTTTTAACAATGATTATGACAGAAATCGATTATTAAGTAAAATCATTCTTTTATGAACCACTTTTAAAAAACGGACTTCAACCTCCTCTTTTTTTGAAGTTGGTTAATTAATATATCTACTAAAACCTTCTCCTGAGTGTAACAAACCATTTTCTTAAAACCACTTCAAAATCGGATTAGCCAATCGCGGGGATTTGATTTTTATAGAAAAAGATACCGCTGATAATCTATTACAACAAGTACCTACTTATACATGTATAAATAAAAATAGTGCACTAATCGCTTCATACTTCATCACCTAGACTTGATCTATGTTTCATTAAATAGTGCAGTGGTAGGCTTTCATTAATTAGTGTACTGATTATAATTCCCAGTACATAACACACCCAGCTAATTCTCCTGTTGATTTCAGATTTAATGAAATTCCACAAACTGAATTGCAGACGAAATATAATTGGATTTACGTGTTCCCGCTACTGGAATTTAGGCCATCTGCCTGAGTCTATCGTCGTGATATGACCGTGATCCGACGTCAAACCGTAACCGTACGTACTGGTAAAATATTTTATGAACATTATATGAGAATAACCGACGTATATCAAAAACTTAAGTAAATATTCATCTATCTACGAATAAAAGTGATTACTGTGTTACAAGAACGAAATGAAAGTTAGGGATGACACTGCTGAGCCACGCTACACCACACTAAACGGTTTCGATAATAACACACGAACTCGGCTGGCGTCACAGTGTGATTTGTCAAAGCCCTTATCTAGTCACCAATCGAGCATTTATTCTCAAAACAAAGAAAAAAATATATTCTCTATCGTTGAGAAAAAACAGATCAGTAGACACGAGGGAAATAAAAGAAATAAAGGAAGGAAAGATGTCCATCTTCGTTGGTCTTTATGTTCAATTTCTAGATGTTTTTGTTTGTATAGTAAATCGGCTCATACTTCCTCAGGTGTATGTATTCAGAGCGCTTTATTTTGTACGGTTAGAGCAACGAAATTCAAAAATATTTGTGTTCACCAGCACATGTTATACATTTTAGACTTTACCATTCTAGAAATTAAGTCGAGAATTCAATAAAACCGTACACAATTTAATCTAGAACCACGATCAATGCCAAACCAATCACCATTAAGCACAACACATTGCTAATCAATTTTTGCATCAAACAGTTAAATAAATGTAAACCACGTACCCACATTATGTTCCATTCTAAAATCATACCAGTAATAACAGTTATATTCATTCACCCCATTACGCAATCCTTGGTAGCGTTGTTTCGCACAATATAGCATTCCCAATGCGATGGGACGTGACGGTAATGGTAAGAGGTGCACGTTCGTGGTTAAACTATCGATAAATATTTGCACGGCGCACGGCACACCACTAGTGTTCGAGACAGACGGCATTTGTTTATCGATGGCTCGTAAGATGTTTCAATTGAAGGTGGTTAAACAAAGTTTTTAGACCATCATAGTTGCTTATGATGAAAATCTCTAAATAAATTGACTGACTCATTGGCCGAATTCTCAGTCTCAGTAGTAGCACGGAGTCTGAAATTGTGCCCAGTATATGGCAATAGGCTCACCCCCAATTACATGAGACTCATAACATAAATAAAGAAAAGTGGGTGTTACATTGTACAGTGGCGTTAAGTGCCGTAATGTGCACCTCTGCCTACCCTTTCAGAAATAAAAGGCGTGATGTTATGACATACTATGTTCTAAATAAATTGTTTTTTCTTTATTTTCGACAGAAATAATTTTTATTTACACAATGACTCTATTGAACTCTACTTTCAAATAGCTATAAGAAGCTATAAATAGATACATGATAGAAGACCTATGATCCTCTAGTAATCTCCAAACTCACCAATAAATGGACATCAAGCAGTACACATCGGTGTTTACACATTCAAAATAGCAATTAACAGGCTGTCGATCAAGTGTGGAAGCTGTCAACCCTCCCTTGCCTCATCATCAATATCCTTTACATCAAACTCCGGGCTCATACGCATTAATCGAGTCTGTCTCCCAACAAAACCTAATCCGATAAATGGGTCCGTAAAAATTACTCGCCTCACGTTTTATAAACGGAACCGTAATCGAATTATTCGCTAAGGTAATTAGTTCATCAATTCTCAACGTCCGAAGGGTTGTGCACTTGTGGTGTAATTCATTTTGGTTTCGTATTAATCAAACGAGTCACGGTGAGGCGTCAGCCAAAGCAATATTTTCTCGTTACTTTGCTCGAATAGTAACCACAATTCTGTATTTTAATCAAAGCCACACAGTGCTTGTGCCTCTAAAAATTCCTGTCCAATCTGCATAGGTCTAACTGGAAGCCATTTTCCGAAACGCGCCACTTACAAACATGGCGTTCTAGGAATATGAGATTTTGTGTCATTGTGACATTTTGTGAATATCACACCGAACTACAGTCACAGTTTGCTCGCATTGACTAAACTCGTTAGACATTCACATGCATTTTTGATGGAACCTATTTCAAATAAAAATCCAGCGTCTTATGAAAAACGTTTATAAATAAAACATATCACATTTGTATAAATGCCTTTGATAAATTACATTACTATTACACATTTGCATAATCTGTAGGTATAAAATATTAATGGTCAAGGTTGATAAAATCTAAACTTTGTATTGCTACTATCACTGGCTTAATTGGCTACCTATTTATATTCAATTTCTCTATTTCTCTCACCGACCGTTATCCTCACTCATGTATCATCTTGCTTCAACTTTTTAAGTTCTGTACCCTCAGCTTCATTATCAATAACATTATGAGAGTTTTCGTCGTAAGTTTCGTCATACAAATGTCCTTGCAACTGAATCTGGATCTCTCTCAAACTCTTACCATTTGTTTCTGGGACCATTAAAAATGAGAATACGCAACCTATGAATGCGAAGGTGGCGTAAAACCAGAATACTCCTGTAAGTCCCGCTACGTTCTTCATCGGTTGATAGCCTTTTACACATAAGAAGTTCAGCAGACCTCCCAGAATGTTCAAGAAGGTCATTGCTACTGATTTAACGTTAAGAGGGAATATTTCTGCGGAGACGACGAAGTTCATTGGCTCATAGCCTAGAATGGACACTACGCTAGAAAGAATGATGCCTATGAACGGAATATAGGTGTAATATGGAGAGCTGGTGGGTTGTATCAAGAAGTACGCTCCAACAACACTCAGGGCTATGCTAGAGCCTAAGTAAGAGTAGATGAGTAAAGGACGACGCCCAACCTTGTCCACTATCACTGATGATATTATTCCTGGAACAATAATGAATTTTAATCTTAGTTTCAAGTTTGAGTAGAAAATTATCTTAGACTAGCCTCTGCCAGCGGCTTCGCCCAAAATAGCCCATGCATTATTCCAGACCATTGTCTACACCTGGTCCAAATTTCAACCCGGTCCCTACGTTTTGACTTGAGTAACAAACAATCCATTAATAACACAGCATATGGAACTATGTCTGGTTTATGGCATTCGGTTCAACCCCTATTACATAGGAACCATACCACACTAATGAAAAAAAAAGGTTACGATTAACATACAAACCTTCATCTTCAGGATTTTAAAGGAGATTTAAGTATAATTTCCTAATTTGATTCCTTACCGACAATAAATTTAACTGCTCCGAATGTTATCAGCACAATGGATATGTCCACGTTGGTTTTGCTTTCTTGAACGATGCGGCCGAAGTATTGTTGGATGGCTATCGGTCCAGCCATTATTTGAGTCACTTTCAACCCTGAAAATGTTATATTAGAAAGAAATTTATGACAAGGAACAAAAATTTAATTACGCAAGAAATTGTTTTCTGCAGGAATCAACAACTCTTTGCAAAACTTGTCGAACCCAACCACTGTTCTGACCAAACTTAAACATTAAACCTTCAATCCTCTTGTGTGTATCAAATATTATTGATATACTGTGGGTATATTAAATGGTCATTACTAATACAAATATCATATTAATATTATCATACTAACCAGTTGCAATGATCAGCGCCTTGCGGTACCTCTTCCCAGTGAACATCTCTTTAGCAGAACCAGAGCGATGCATTTCTTTTTTGACGTCCAACCTCATTGCTGATAGCCGGTCTTCTATAGCCTGAAAATTTTTGGACAAATCCATCACATCAACAGCCCGAAACAGTCCAAAAAGGTTCAAGAGAGATCAGAGGGTCTGCCCTGTCTGGTTTATGTGTACTCGCTTCTTATAACATCCTCAGTCAGGAGTAATGTTTGTAGATGTTTTCTATTTTACCGTCACCACACGATAAATCCGTATGCACCATCAACATACAATAGAACAAGTGCGACTGCTGGGCAAGGGGTTAGATTCCCGGGTCGGATAAAGTATTACTGGGTTTTAAAAAAAAATCTCAGTAGTAGCACGGAGTTTGGAATTGTGCCCGGTATATGGCAATAGGCTTACCCCCATATTATATGGGACTTATAACATAAATAGCAAAAAAAGAGGGTGTTACATTGTATAGTGTTGTAATGTTAAGTCGCGTAATGTACAAATCTGCCTACCCCATCGGGGATAAAAGGGGTGATGTTATGTTATGTATGTCTTTTATTCAAAATTCTATTTTCCCTCTCTTGAATGCTCACCTTTTCATCTCTATCTCCACTCAATCTCTTTAGAGAAGCTCGTGCTGCATTCACTTTTCCTTCTTTCAAGTAGAAATATGGCGTCTCTGGGATAAAGCTACAGGCAACAAAGTAACATATAGGTAGACCTAGGAATATGTAGCTTATAGCGTTGTAGGATATGAATGGTCCAATTGACATGATGATGAAGCTACCAAAACTTAACATAAAGCGGATGGATGCTGTTAATTTTCCTCTGATTTCTTTATCTGCTATTTCGGCTAAGTACATTGATGATACCTGAAATAATTGGTTTTTTGGATTAGACAAAAATTAATGTTCTATATAGTTGTCTCAAAGTATTTAAAGGGGTAATTATACCATGAAATAATTATGGTTACCTCTGAAAAAATTATAAAATTGTGGGGTTTGGGTCTTGGATTCATCGTACGCAACGCAATATCATGGATTCTGGCTGGAGCTGTTTAATATATGCTTGTGTTCTATTACAAGGGATTCATATCATAACCGAGGAAGAGTTGATATTGCATTAAATTAATATTATGACCTACTGCTAGAAAGAACGAGTTCAGAATAATTTTCCAAAGCAACTTACTGTTCCGATCATACCAGTACCAAAGCCCCATAGGTAGCGCGTCACGTAAAGACATCGCGCTGACGCAGTGGTTAGAATTACTGTCTGAAAACACACAACATAATTACTTAATTGCACATATAAACTCATGTTTAATTATGTGGTCATTGGTTGTGAGAAGTGTGGGAGAGCTGTGATACCCTGGCCTTACGGAAAACCGACGTGCAACAACGCTTGCGATGTGTTTCATCGTGTGAGTGAGGTTACAAGAAGCCCAATTACCCCTGTCCCCTCCCTAGTCTCCCAAATCCCCGAATCTCCCACAATCCCCAAATTCCCAAAAGGCCGGTTTTTCACTTATAACGCCCCTGGTGTTTCGGGTGTCCATGGCCGACGCCGATTGCTTACCATCAGGTGATCCGTAAGCTCGTTTACCGGTTTATCCTATAAAAAAATCTCAACCAATGACGGGCGAGAAAACAATTGAGCTCACTTCAAAAGATCGAATTCACAGTTACAGAATAGCCTAGCAGTATCAACTTACAGTTCCAATGAGTATCGGTAAGGCGCTGCCCAGAACAGCTGACCGTCTTCCGAACTTGTCCGAGACAATCCTGGTCGCCATACTGCCCGCCATGTACCCAGGAGACGCTAAGGCGGCCACCCATGATATCTCATTCTGGAAAGTCATTTCAACAAATTCTCTTAATGTTTTAATGCTTATAAATATGACTAAAATGGAGCAATGTAAGGTCAAATAAATTTTGAGAAGATATACACAAGAAAATACAGGTTTTACAAAAGTTTGATTATTGACAACGCTGGTCTGGATAGAGTCGTCCAGAAAACCATACGCGGATCATTAAGTAAAAGACAAGTAAAAAGCCTTGTAACAATCGTAGGTACTCCTATGACCAGATGCATGAATATGATGAACGCTACGGAAGAATGTTAGGATCGTATTAGACGCTTGTCTGGGTTTTTGCTCAGTTTTTGTATGCATATTTGTTACTTTTCTTTCCTCATTTAAATAAAAGGCACTGTTTAACCTCTTGTCTGTCGGAATGCTAATCTACGCGAGACACAATATGTTTTCTATTGTGTCTCACATATCGACAGACAAGAGGTTAATGAGTACAGACTAAGACCTTTTGTATGTTTTAGGTATGAGTATCACTACAGTCGATGATACCTAACAAAGTTCTCCCACAAAGTCGTAAAAGTATCGTTTTTTTACCAGCACAACGATAGTTAAATGGTTATTAAACGAACTAACTCATAGTCAAACAACAATTCCCAAGCATCGGCGGTTTTTTGCCCTATACCATTAACATGTATGACGTGAACCATACTATTATCACTATTATAAAATATCCGTTTAACCTTGAGAATATGATAAAGATGGTACTTATAAACCTTACGTCTGTAATGGCGATATTAGTTTCATTGTTGTGGAACTTCGGTATGACCGGCGTACTCCAAGCTTGTGTGGCTCCAGCTACAACAGCAGCCAGGGATACTGAAATAAAAAGATAGAAATAGGAAAGATTAAGAACCTCATTCCTTTGGTTATTTTGACTATCAATACTGCATGGTTGGTGCGGTGGCTGGGCAACCAACAAACTTTGTGTGATCCACAAATTGTTGTTTCGGGTCTGGGTGTCATTGTGTATGTGTACTTGTATGTTTATAAACGCACCCACGACACAGGAGAAAATCCTAAAGTGGAGTAAAAAAATAGAAATTTATTTATTTATTTATCACAATATCCACAGCTCTTAAACATTACACTTAATATAAAAGGGCATTCATAAATTACGTGAGATGCTTAAGGGGGGGAGAGGTAGACTCAAATCTCATCTATCCAATTAAAATTCCGTCTATTATTCAGGCCCAGACATTATGTACAGATAATCATAAATTCCGTATAGCATTCCGATAGCAAGAATTCCGTACATGCAGTATGTATGTCAGTCAGTATGATTATGATTAGTATATAAAGAATATCAATAGTATCAATAGTAATATCGTGGTAATATCAATAGTAAATATAAAATATCACTTCGATAATCAATTATTTATCTTGTATATACGGCCACACATCAATCTATACAAAACCAGTTTATCCTGGTGTCGCGTCGCATCATCTTTCCGCACATTTAACGTTCAGTTTATACCGTGTGTACTATGTAGTATCATACTGTCAGTCTTTAGATAGAAAGTGATGAGTGAATCAAACACTAAGCATATTTTTTTATTTATCTCTATCAGTGTGTAGGTATACTTATTATACGATAGGTATATGATAGGGTTCAAGTTCAACAATCTTACTTGCAACTGTGGCGACCTTTTGACCAATAACAATATTATCGCACTCGTTGGCAGTTAAATTAGACTTTAACAATAACAAACCCACTTCCTATTAAACAGAACACAGCATAACACCTTTTATCCCCCAAAAAGGTGCACATTACGGCACTTAATACCACTGCACAATATAATATCGACTTTTCACTATTTATGTTATGAGTCCCATGTATGAGTGAGCCTATTGCCATATACCGGGCAAAATTCCTGGCTCCGTGCTACTACTGAGAAAAACTCAGTAATACTTTACCCAACCCGGGAATCGAACCCGAGAGCCCTTGACGAGTAGTTGCACTTGCGCCCACTAGGCCAACGAGGCAGTCAAAGTCAGTAATAAACAGAATTCGTAACAGAACTGATGAAAAGTGAATGTTACATTTTATATGCGCTCTTGACATCTCTGCCTACTCCTTTAGGAATTGAAATACGTGTATAAACAAGTACCTAATAATCTATATTTTTATGTTGAACAGTTTTAGTTCTTATGCATGTTTTCTTAAAACATATTTTTCTCTTTTTAATTTGCAACCTTATGCCCACCACAATTTGTACGCCTCCGGGCATAGCATAGAGGTCTATTTTATTACCATTTATGAGACTTATATCTGTATGCACCTATGTTAACAAATAAAAGTGATTTGATTTGATTTAATGAGGTCTATTCTAAAAATCAAGCCCTTACGTTATATAGGTATGTATAATGAAGGTAGTTGTGGAAAAAACGAGATAATATTGTATGATCACCAAGATTAAGAACCTGTGGGGATGCATAGGTACATTGTTATAACAATAAACCTGATTGAAGATTGATTGATCTTGAAGATTGTGAGTGTGTACCGAATATTAAATCGATCTGTCATCAGAAAGGCGGTAAATTTCCAAATACTAAATTTGACTCAAGTAAGCAGACAAAAACACACTTACCAGCCGCTGCCACGAAGTATTGAGCTCTTCTTCCCTTTTCCATAACAATCACGTGTGTTCCAATTCACTGAGAATTACTTCATCCAAAAACAAACTCTTATGTCCTCAAAAAAAGACTTAAATTAAACCAACCATCGCAACCTTGAGTACTGTTCATTCACGTACAATTAAATATGTTTAAATATTATCTTAACAAATAAATACACACTAGTACACGCTAGTAAGATGAATCTCTGAATGATTCATATTATCAATTCAAGTGCTAGATAAAAAAATTGTGGCCGAAAGCTAAATTGTAGTTAAAACAATAATATATGTGAAGGCTTCTCTTATCTTTTAGATATATCTCAAATCATACAGCTGAGGCAATTTTCTTGATACTTCCTGACTGCTTGACAAACGTACTCATGATAACTGTCCCTCATAAGATCAGAAATTTCTTATTCATGCTCTCAATGCAGTTTTTCTGACATAAACCTTACAATCTGAACAAATGATTTTAAATGGTCACTATCCTATATTATGAACAATTCTAGATTTAACAAAAGAAATAGGCGGGAATTTGGCATAGTAAAATACAGGCCCCACTGTCAAATAAAGACTGGCTCTTAGTTTTTTCTACACTATGCTTTTATGTGTAAGAAAGAGATAGACGTATGAAACGGTACTTTTGTAACTGTGAAAGAATGGAGTAAATGGTACACGGTAATAGTAATTGTACTATGATCTCTGGACCTCATTGGATCATGGACTCTATACACAAAAATCGACATGTTATTTCAAAATACAAAATCATTGTTTTTAAATTATTTTTCACGAGTAATTAACGCGTTAGTCGTTCGCAAAAAATATGTATATTAAACCTCATTTTGCGAACAGGTTTATTAACATACCTATTTACTTTAATATGGCTTGAAACCTGCAGTTTTTTTTTAAAGCCTAAAGGAGTCCATACACTCTAGGTTTTGCATGATGGTTTTAGCCGTGCATGCATAACCGAAGCAGTCATTCGATGATTTTCCCCCCATAAAAAAAAAAAAAAAGGCTTAGCGAATATATGATTAAACTGTACAGTTATCGGTGCATCGGTGCTCGGTTATGCTTGTCGGTTTTGCATGCAAAGTTATAACCATCATGCAAACCTTAGCGTGTATGGCCTCCTTTAGGCTTCATTCATTTTGTCCTTCATTAATTTTTTGAGAGGGGAATATCATCCAATGACTCCGGCCTTTGGTGAGGTTACAGGGAGTATCAAATCTTAATAATCACCCCATTCCTAGTTCTGCTTCAAGCCCGGCAACCCTCATAGCCCCGGCAACCCGTTCATTCTTCCGTGGCTCCAGATCTTCCGCGGCTCCAGATTATCCCCCAGTCTAACAACCGAATACTGAATTGCACCTCAATTTTCAAATTACGTCATCATTGTCATTTTATAAATTACTGTCGACCTGTCACTGGTTCTCACTGATAATATATCATGCAAATGGTGAAACATTCTAAATCGGTCCGGTACTTTTTGAGCCTATTCGTTACAAACATACTTACACTAACCTGCTTCCTATTTTTACCTAATATGAGTACAGATTTAGTGACAGACAGTAACTGCGTAACTAAATATATTTTTATTAACACTGGTATAAGCTATTCAAGGTGTTATTCAACAACAAAAAACGTATCATATTATGTAATGTTATTCAATAGTGTTTAAGCAAAATAGTGACGTCACGGTTTAAAACCCATTCAACTTTATGTGTGTTTGTCTATTTGAACTGCTAAAAATAATAAATGTTTGCGGTACACTTTTTCTCACTGATAATATAGCATTCAAATGGTGAAACATCCTAAATCGGTCCGGTATTTTTTGAGCCTATTCTTTACAAACACACATGCTTCCTTTTTTTACCTAATATGAGTAAAGATTTGTAGTGACAGACATTATATTGAGACTGCCTTAAAATTGAGTGGTGTTTGAGTATTTGAAAGTTGGAAAATGTCTATAAACAGTTGGTCCTACGTAACTCCGTGATACCAGAGTCTAACCATATTTTTTATTAACACTGATATAGCCTATTCAAGGTGTTATTCAACAACAAAAACTTATCATATTAGTTATGTAATGTTATTCAATAGTGTTTAAGCAAAAATAGTGACGTCACGGTTTAAAACCATTCAATTTTATAGAATGTGTGTGTCTAACTAACACATACATGCAAAATGTTTGCGGTACACTTTTTACAACATTGCCGATAGCTACGGCTTAAGCAATTCATAGAAGTGAATAAAAACATTAAGGTCAAATAGTAAAAAAATATTTGTTACGCTTACTTCGCTTCGAGAATACTCTGTACTATCAAATTGAAACCACAAACAGAACCTTTAAACTTGAGTACGACCAAAGTTTTAACAAAAAAATACATGAATAATATATTATAGTCGTATTTAATCATAATCCGTTAGAGTTGAACAGTCAGGTCCATTTTTTCTAAATAAATAATACCACAACTCTTTTAATATATAATTTTTAATTAAAGCTCCAACTTTTTTATTAACCATAATTGCTAATATCTCCTAGCATCACACACCAACTGGTATTTCTCAATTAATCGAAAGGTCAAAAAACCATTCATCTCGTAATATCTTTTAATTCTGTGTTCTCGTTGATCTCTTCATCTTGTTCCTTCAAATCATCAGGTGTATCGTATATATTACCTTGCAATTCTATTTGTATTTGTCTCAAACTTTTTCCTTTTGTTTCTGGAACGATTACGTATGTAAATATTGCTCCAGTGAACGCCATGACAGCGTATAACCAAAACACTCCGTACAGCCCTGTCCAGTCCTCCATCGGTTGATACCCTTTCACTACAATAAAAGTCATGAAAGCAGAGTAAATATTTAACACAGTCATTGCAACTGATCTTACGTTTAAAGGGAAGATTTCTGAAGGAATAATAAATATTAGAGTGTCAAAGCCTACACTAGATATGACTATAGAAATGACAATTCCTACAAATACGACGAAACGGAATGGGTTTGAGGATTCATCGTCGATGCCGATGACTTGTTGGAGGAAGAAGTAGCTCCGACCATCGCCAGCATCACGCAGGAGCCCAAGTAGGAGTAGATGAGCAGTGGACGACGCCCCACCTTGTCAACGATTATTGGTGAAATCAAACCTGGAAAGAGGAAAAAAGACAATAAGTATCATCGACATTTGCATAGAAACTTAACATACCATTAGTATACTCCGATGGGCATACACTCCTTATAAGGTAATTTTAACTTATTTTAAAATTTTCAATGGATACCTGAAATTGCCAAATAAACAATGTGCATCACTCATTGTGTACATTGACAAGTTATTAGGAAATATACAAAGCCAGTTAGCAGACCAAGTACCCTGGACAGGTGATCCAACCCCTGTCGACCTGGTATAAGTTCGAAGCAATAAACTAAAACTCTCACGATCTCATTTGCATTCATGAATGCTCAAGTCAGAGCTCTTGGAGTTAGCATTAGCGCAATAGTTCCCGCAAGGTAAAGTCCAATGCATATTTGATCACAAGTAAGTTTGTTCTTACCGACTGCAAATCTTACTGCTCCGAAAATAATGAGGGCCGTCGAAACTCGTAAGCCACAGTTACTTTGTTGAATGATACGACCCATGTACTGCTGTATGGGGATACTGCCAGCGAAGAGTTGAGTGAAGCGAAGACCTAGAATTAAAAAGCAATTGGTTAAGCGAAGGTTATCAATAATATAATGTTAGATGTAATAATGTATACTATGTATGTAGCTCGCCTTCTATTTCAAAGTAATGTTGTCTATTTTAAAATGTCTCGTAATAGAAAGGTAGATATAACATAACATAACATCACGCTTTTTATCCCCGAAAGGGTAGGCAGAGGGGCACATTATACCACTGTGCAATGTAACACCTACTTTTCACTATTTATGTTATGAGTCCCATGTAATAGGGGGTGAGCCTATTGCCATATACCGGGCACAATTCCAGACTCCGTGCTACTACTGAGAATATTTAAAAACCCAGTAATACTTTGCCCGACCCGGGAATCGAACCCGAGACCCCTTGCCCGGCAGTCGCACTTACGACCACTCGGCCAAAGAGGCAGAAGTAGATATTTGTTTATAAAAAACCGTTTTAACTAACATACAGACATACCTACGTGATTGGTAAAAAATAATTACAGTTAATAGGTTTCTTTTGAGGTTGGAAAAGATGTAATATTTTTATGTAAAATTTGATTTGACAATATGTTTCTCAAACGTACCAGCAGTAACTATAACGGCTTTCCTATACTGTTTCCCAGTAAGCAGTTCCTTTGCTGAACTAGACCGCTGCATCTCCTTCCTTACATCCGACCGCATTTGGGATAACCTCTCTTCAATCATCTAAAAAATAGAAGAAAAATTTTAAACGTTTTTAAAACAAAATCACATTCGAAATTCAAGAAAATATGATATACCTAAAATAGGGTAGATGCCTAATTTTTATTTTAATGTCTGTCTGGTAGATTATTTTTAACTGTCAAACACCGTGAGGACACCGGTGACCGCAACCTATTCTTCTTTAATTGTGTCTATAATGACGGCACTCAAAGAGTTTAATCATTACACACGTATTTTTTATTATCTTACCAACCAATAGTAGTAAACTAATGTTTAATTACAGAGCCGTCTTAGACTACGCCGTGACTCTTGGGCAGACAATGAATCAGGGCCCATTTCCAATGTTTTTTTCACGTAGCCCTACACTATGTTTTTCTCCTATATCGTGAGTGCATTTACAAACATACGAGTTCACATACACATGACACCCAGACCCGAAACCACAATTTGTGAATCACACAAATATTTGTTCCGTGCGAGAATCGAACCCGCTACACGTTGCACGGCAGCCAGTTACCACTCAACGTGTAACGGGTGTGTCTGTCGTAGAAATTGTCGGTCCTTCGGATGTGTCTTCCTGTGCCCTTGGGTACGGGCCCCGAGTGCCTTATTTTATAGATGGTGCTGTTCACTATCTCTGTACTGAACCAATCTTTATTTTCTTACCTACATAGTACATTCTAAATAGCTGTATGACTGTACATCGAATATAGATTCTATTCCTTGTTGAACATGCAAAAAGTACAATACAAGGGTAACTATATCACCAAAATTAAACACGATTAAAATGCATACCCACTTCTATTTAATTTTTACTGAGTCCCCAAGCGGTCACCGGTTACCGCTCTCCAGTTACTCAATTATAGACCTTATTTTCGATGCTTAGAGACTACTTTTATATGAACAAATGTTGTGGATATTTCGTAATCGTGGATTAAGGAATTAATACAAACCTTTTCATTCTTACTCCCACTGAGTCTCATCAATTCTTTCTTGGCAGCATCCACCTTACCTTCTTTGAGCAAATAATAAGGAGTTTCAGGGATCCTCCAACAGGCGAGGAAGTAGCAAATAGGCATTACTATTAAGAAGTAACTCAGCACTTGATAGGATACAAAGGAACCTATGGCCAGCATTAAGAGAGCTCCAAAACTAAACATGAACCTCGTCCCAGCTGTTAGAGTTCCTCTGATCTCTTTATCTGCTATTTCTGATAGATATACGCTTGTAACCTGCAAAAAAATGTTATAAGTGTAGTAAGTAATTGTTATTTACAAAAGATTCATCATCATCAACAGCCTATAAATGCCCACTGCTGAGCAAAGCCTCTTCTCATACGGAGAAGGTTTGAGCATTAATCACCACGCTTGCTCAATGCGGGTTGGTGATTTCAAACTTATACTTAATTAGAAATTATAAGCCTAGGTTTCCTGTCGATGTTTTCTTTCACCGTTTGTCAGTGGTGTCTGAATAATCTTAGAAAGTACATATCGTATAGAAAAAGTCACATTGGTACTTGCCGTTGGTAGGTTTCGAACCCGCACCCTCATGCATGAGAAGTGGGCGTCTTAAACCTCCGGGTCACCGCGACACCTTACAAAAGATTAAAACCCTATAAAGGTATTTAAACTGTCAAACACCAAGCGGTCACCGGTGACCGCGACCTATTGTTCTTTAATTGTGTCTATAAAACCGGTACTCGACGAGTTAAAACTCTTTCTGGTTGCCTTTACTAAATATCTTCGACTCCTGCCCCTTCGGAGATTAAACAGCCTGATGTTAAGTTTACGCTACATAAAGTATTTTCAGGAAGGTTAAATAAAGACTGACCGTAGTAATCATGCCAGACCCGAGTCCCCACGAAAACCTGCCGATATACAGCAACCAGGGCTTCGTTGCGTGCAACACGAACGCCTGCAAAAATATAAAATCACATAGGTGCATAATTTATACGTAACTTTGATAGCAAGTTATTACAGATGCCTTAGTACGAATTTTCTGAGTTCTGAGACTTTCGTACGAGTTTATTTTACGTTAAAAGTAATCGTAAAGAGACCGCATTCGGCGCTCTGATTGGATGGTTCATTGAAGCCGGCCAATCAGAGCGCCGAACCGCATACTGAACTCTCAGAACTTAGAAAATTCTTAGTACAAACTATATGTTGCAATAATCTCTTAATGCTGGGAGATCCTCAAGCACAATGACGATGACGCATATAACAAGAGTCCAGTTCGATCCCTAGATACCGATCATATTATTGAACTTAATTCGGACTTCTTTGGTAGATACGTTTTTGGCGCTTTATTTGAAACGTTGCCAATGATTAATTTTTATATATTTTTTTTAAAAACATTGCCCCACACTATCATTTTCTCCTGTATCGTGGGTGCGTTTACAAACATATAAGTTCACATACACATGACACCCTGACCCGAAACGACACACACAAAGAGTTGTTCCGTGCGGGAATCGAACCCGCGACACGTTGCGCGGCAGCCAGTTGCCCAGCCACCACATCAACCGTGGCGTCAAATTAGAGGGTCATGAGAATATTAGACCTATGTAGGTAAATCGTATACTTCTTATATACAATATACTATTGTATATAAGCTGAAGTTGTTTGTGTGTTTGTTGGTTTGAACGCGCTAATCTCAGAGGATATTGGTCCGATTTGAAAAAAATTGTTTGTGTTTGATAGCCTATTTATCGAGGAAGGCTTTTAGCTATAATACATCATGCTACTGTTAAACTGTCAAACACCAAGCGGTCACCGGTGACCGCGACCTATTGTTCTTTAATTGTGTCTATAAAACCGGTACTCGACGAGTTAATAGGCGCCAAGCAGAGTTTTTTTTTCATGGCATAAGCCGGTAAATGAGCAGACGGATTACCTGATGGTAAGCAATCGGCATCGCCCATGGACATCTGGAACACCAGAGGCGTTACAAGTGCGTTACCGGCCTTTTGGGGATTAGGAGTTTGAGGATCGTTGGGGATTCAGGGATTGGGGAGATTGGGGAAGGGGAGGGTAATTGGGCCTCCGGTAACCTCACTCACACGACGAAACACAACGCAAGCGTTGCTTCACGTCGGATTTCTGTGAGGCCGTGGTATCACTCCGGTCGAGCCAGCCCATTCGTGCCGAAGCATGGCTCTCCCAGACTTAAAAATAGTGGCTGAAACCGCGCAGTAGTAGCTATATTAGATCCGTAGCACGTACTTACCGTGCCAACAATAAAAGGTAAAGCGCTAGCAAGTAGAGTGACTCGCCTCCCGAACTTGTCTGACACTCCGCTGGCAGCCAGACTGCCTGTCACCATGCCTGGCGATATCATCGCGACCACCCACGAGATCTCGCTCTGCAAAAAATAATTCAATATTTTTAAGAACCAATACTGCAATAACTGTTGTTTTTTACTTCCTATAAAAGTAATTTATGAACTGATAAATTAATTCAGCAGATTATGTTTGAACAATTTCTCAAACAAAATGATTATAGAGGTATATATTTCTAGACAAAAAGACAAGTGCCATTTTTGCTTCAATTAGGCACTGTTCACGAAGCCTTTACTGGGTCTTATATTTCCTTAATAATTATTAAGGAAATTATGTCCCGATATTCCCATTGTAGCTATGTAAACCATGTATAAATATTTATTTTTAAGCTACCTCTAAGCCGACGTGAAGCAACGCTTGCGTTGTGTTTCGTTGTGTGAATGAGGTTACCGGAGGCCCAATTACACCCCCCCCCCCCCTCTTTCCCCAATATCCCTAATCACCGCATCCTCAACAATCCTCAAACTCCTAATCCCCAAAAGGCCGGTAACGCACTTGTAACGCCGCTGATGTTCCAGGTGTACATGGGCGATGTCGATTGCTTACCATTAGGTGATCCGTCAATATGCCATAAAAAAAATCATGTGTTTATATAATTAATTTATACTTACATTGGATATTATAATACTGGTCTCATTATTGTGAAACTTGGGTAGAATGGGTGCAGTCCAGAAATAGGCAGTACTCGTCGTCATCGTAGCTATAGACACTGGAAAATGTAAGTGTAAAATATTATTGCATTTTAAACTTTATTGCAATGGATACTAGGAAATTGAAAATCTTGACTTATTAACTTTCAAAATCATAAACTCCTGTAATACTTTGCGCAAATACTGGATCCTAGACCTTTAGCCAGGAAATTATTTTCTCTATTTTCAGGCGCAGATTGCGAAAGGAGGTACTGCATAATAACATAACATCACGCCTTTTGGCCCCGAAGAGGTAGGCAAAGGTGCACATTACGGCACTTAATGCCACTGTACAATGTAACACCCACTTTTCACTATTTTTGTTATGAGTTAAGTTGAGATATTACAGGGGGTAATAGGGGGTGAGCCTATTGCGATATAATTTGTAGTAGTTTGCCCTACCTGGGAATCGAACCCGAGACCCCTTACCGACAGTCGCAATTGCGACCACTCGACCAATGAGGCTGTCATTGAGTTATTGCACTACATCACTTATCTACTACAACAGACGTTTTCTACTTTGTGTAAAGGTCAAGTACTTTTTATCATAGTCTTATCTCGTGCGTTTCTTAATGTTAGCACAGAAATACACAATATTTCCTGCATGTGGGTTCGGAAACACCTTTTTGTAGTGTTTTAGCACTGACTAAGGTGTTCCGTGCTTCGGTAACTTTTATGTATATTGTTTACAGATATCAAGCTAGTATATTATTAGTTATCTTGTTGCAGTGCCATGCCGAGCACGAATTATTTAATAAATTTTAGTATTCGTTGATTTTTATATTTAAAACTAGCGGACCCGACAGACGTTGTCCTGTAATAATAGGTATAGATAAATAAACTAAAAACCGACTGCAGCGCCATCTGCCGAGCTGATTTGTGAATCTAAACCATTGCCAGATCCCCTTGAACACACACAAAAAATTTCATCATAATCAGTCCAGTCGTTTGAGAGAAGTTCAGTGACATACACACTCACAGAAGAATTATATATATAAAGATTGGTAGTTCTCCCTCGATAAATGTCCGTGTTCTTGTCATTTTTTGGTCTGCTCATGATTTGAGCTAGGTTTTCGCGCTGTAGTCCGATTTTTCGGAAGCATTTTAGTAGGTAGTAGAAAGTATCTATTTCGAAATAACATTAATTAATGGGCTGCCTCGTTGGCCGAGTGGTCGCAAGTGCGACTGCCGGGCAAGGGGTTTCGGGTTCGATTCCCGGGTCGGGCAAAGTATTACTGGGTTTTTAAAAAAAAACTCTCAGTAGTAGCACGGAGTCTGCAATTGTGCCCGGTATATGGCAATAGGCTCACCCCCTATTACATGGGACTCATAACATAAATAGTGAAAAGTGTGTGTTACATTGTACAGTGGCATAATGTGCACCTCTTCCTACCCCTTCAAGGATAAAAGGCGTGACGTTATGTATGTATTAATGTAATATAAGACATTAAAATACAAGATTTGAAGTTTCTGTAATAATAAACAAATAACTGACTGAAAATGACTGCACGGTTGGCGCGGTGGTTGGGCAACTGAATGCCGCGCAACGTGTCGCGGGTTCGATTCCCGCACGGAACAACTCTGTGTGATCCACAGATTGTTGTTCCGGGTCTGAGTGTAATGTGTATATGAATCTGTATGTTTGTAAACGCACCCACGACACAGGAGAAAATACTAGGGTGGGACAACGTTTAAAAAAATATATCTACACCATAAGTACCTAATCTAAACAGTTTCGATTAAAAAAAAACTGTTACTTTGCAAACATTTACGTGTCGTATGACATCTTTGCTTACCCTAACACCTAAATGTAGTGACTATGTAGATATCTAACGGTATACTGTATCACAACTACATAACAACAACGGATTTAAAAAAAAAATCTCAGTAGTTGCACGGAGTCTGGAATTGTGCCCGGTATATGGCAATCAGCTCACCCTCCTATTTTAAGGGACTCATAACATGAATAGTGAAAAGTGGGTGTTACATTGTACAGTACCAATAATTGCCGTAATGTGCACCTCTGTCTACTCCTACTGGGATAAAAGGTGTGTTGTTATGTTATGTGTTTCAAAACTACACTTTTTACAACAACTACACTCCCAAGTATATTTCATTATATAATTTTTAATACATTACATATCAATTTTAATTATCTATATGCAAGGCCGGATTTAGGGGGGGGCAACCGGGGCGAAAGCCCCGGGGCCTCCACAAGCAGGGGGCCTCCACAATAGACTTCGGAAAAAAAAATCTTTCAAATTTCAACTAGTAAACCTAGTAAACATCTTTTCTTTGATACTTTTTTTTTCGCTTTTACCTTTACCTACGGCCTAAAGTACTTTATACATACATGATTATTTGATTATATTAATTTTAAATATTAACAGAAACAGAAATCATTGATCTATATTTGTTCACTCCAATCAGGCAATCAGTGAAATATCAAAATCTCAAATGGCTCTGATAAGCACTTCCAATTTACTACCCATCTTGAGGGAGTATCCCAATGGCTCAATGGCTCAGTGGGATGGTACTTGCCCGCAACCTCGGAGGTTGGCTATTCCATTCCGTGTCTCGACCATTAAAAAAAATAATTGCAGTATGTGAACAATTGGTATTCTTCAATTTTTAAACTCGAAATCTGTCGAGCGTCCTCGAAATCTATCGAGCATCCTCGATCGTTTTCGAGAGTTCTCGAAATCTATCGGGCGTCCTCGAAATCTATCGAGCATTCTCGAAATCAATCGAGTGTCCTCGATCGTTTTCGAGCATCCTCGATTGTTTTCGAGCGTCCTCGAAATCTATCGAGAGTCCTCGATCGTTTTCGAGCGTCCTCGAAATCTATCGGGCGTCCTCGAAATCTATCGAGCGTCCTCGAAATCAATCGAGCGTCCTCGATCGTTTTCGAACATCCTCGATTGTTTTCGAGCGTCCTCGATCGTTTTCGAGCGTCCTCGATTGTTTTCGAGCGTCCTCGAAATCTATCGGGCGTCCTCGAAATCTATCGAGAGTCCATGATCGTTTTCGAGCGTCCTCGAAATCTAACGGGCGTCCTCGATCGTTTTCGAGCATCCTCGATTGTTTTCGAGCGTCCTCGAAATCTATCGAGAGTCCTCGAAATCTATCGAGCGTCCTTGAAATCAATCGAGCGTCCTCGATCGTTTTCGAGCGTCCTCGAAATCTATCGAGTCCTCGATCGTTTTCGAGCGTCCTCGAAATCTATCGAGAGTTCACGATCGTTTTCGAGCGTCCTCGATCGTTTTCGAGCGTCCTCAATTGTTTTCGAGCGTCCTCGAAATCTATCGGGCGTCCTCGAAATCTATCGAGCGTCCTCTAAATCAATCGAGCGTCCTCGATCGTTTTCGAGCATCCTCGATTGTTTTCGAGCATCCTCGAAATCTATCGAGAGTCCTCGATCGTTTTCGAGCGTCCTCGAAATCTATCGGGCGTCCTCGAAATCTATCGAGCGTCCTCGAAATCTATCGGGCGTCCTCGAAATCTATCGAGCGTCCTCGAAATCTATCGAGAGTCCTCGATCATTTTCGAGCGTCCTCGAAATCTATCGGGCGTCCTCGAAATCTATCGAGCGTCCTCGAAATCAATCGAGAGTCCTCGATCGTTTTCGAGCATCCTCGATTGTTTTAGAGCGTCCTCGATCGTTTTCGAGCGTCCTCGATTGTTTTCGAGCGTCCTCGAAATCTATCGAGCGTCCTCGATCTCAATCTGGAAAATAATTGGGGGCAAGGGGGCCTCCACTCCTTTGTTGCCCCGAGGCCTCTGGACCCCTAAATCCGGCCTTGTCTATATGTATCTTAATTGATATCTCAACAATCCCCAATCCCTGAATCCTCGACAATCCTTAAACTCCTAATCCCCAAAAGGCCGGTAACGCACTTGTAACGCCTCTGGTGTTCTAGGTGTCCATGGGCGACGCCAATTGCTTACCGTCAGGTGATCCGACTGCTTATTTATCGGCTTATCGCATAAAAAATAACTCTTAACTCAAGATAGTACCTATTTAATATCCAGCTTCTAATTAAAGTAACAACGTAACTATAGATGAAAAGAAAGTTATTTTACAGTACTATACGTATATATAAAAAATCACGTCCATTTCTAACAAAACAAACAGACGTAAACAAAATTTTAATATTAAGTATACCATTCTATGTTATCTGCCATATTTTTGACAAGTGAGTTTCATGCCAATGGATTATTGACAATTTATTTTTTTATTCTAATGATACAACATTAAGGTATGCAAAGAATGGCTGCACGGTTGGTGCGGTGGCTGGGCAATCGGCCGACGTGCAACGTGTCGCGGGTTCGATTCCTGCACGGGACAACACTTTGTGTGATCCACAAATTGTTGTTTCGGGTCTGGGTGTCATGTGTATGTGAACTTGTATGTTTGTAAACACACCCACGACACAGGAGAAAATCCTAGTGTGGGGCAACGTTTTAATAAAAAAAGAGGCATTGAAATACGATTCAACGAGTGTTTTCAAGACACTGGCACTGGAAAGGAAATCTCACGGGACAGGAACTATGCGTTAAGATTCCGGGACTCTCTATTGCTTAAACCACTGAACTGAACTGAGTGCAATTCGGTACAACGATAGTTTGAGACTCGGAAAATGACGCCTGATAATTTTCAACCGCTGTACGTATTTGATTGGAATTCAAATGGAGTTTTAATCACTGAAAGCTCACGGGAATGGATACTATACGGGTAAAATCCTCGTGAGATTGTTTATTTTTTTGAAAACACGAAAATAAACAACATTTCACAATAAATATAACTAAATTGATTCTGATGAAATTTGTTACACGGCATTGCAATTAACCTTGGAGAAGACTAATTAAAAAATCCAAAATTTGCCCGAAGTCATTATTATACGAAGTCGCTAAGGGAACAGCTATCAATTTATATTTTAAAATTTTCCGAGACACAGGTTTATAAGTAAAACTAGTTTGGACATATGAAATGTTTTAGCAATAACTTAGAATTATTATTAAGTCAGTCGACTAACTCGTTCAACTACAGTTTAAAGTTTATTTTAATAAATATAGAAGAACATAGTATTTAACTTAAAAATAAATATGTAGAACTTAATATACACTAAAACTAACAGAGAAAATTAAATAAAGGAATCTAAAAACGACTATTTATAGAGAGCATCAAAAAATTCGTAAGGCAGTTGGTTTTAATTACCATCTGAGCTCTATTACAACAATAATGATAAACTTACCTGCAAACGCCGCCAAATACTGCATCCTATGACTTTGTGGCATTTTAATAACTTAAATTATTTACACACACCTTTAATCCAAAATCACTATTTCACTATCACAACAACATTAATAAATCATCTATATATGTCCTTCATTATAAACACTGCGATGTGTTACACATAAATTCATTAAACTCGTTTAGAACAAATCACAAATCGCTTCACAAACACAGTACAATTTTACACAGATAAAAAAATATTTTTAATCTGTTTTCTATTTTAGAATATAAAATAAAGTAGTCGATTTGATAACGATATGACACGTCTGTTATATAGACATGATTTCTATTTATACTGTATCACACGGTGTACCGCCTTATCTTCGATGTACAGTCGGCGACACTTTGTGGTACATTCGTACTGTCGAACATTTCATTATTGTTTTGGCGGCTGTCGTGCTGGTACTCACCTCCTACTCACCGAAAATTAGCAGTGTGTGTAGGAGTTCGGTTCACTAGGATTTTTTCAGCAGCCAAAACTTAAATTGACTAGACTGTTTGTATTATTGTCATTAAGTATATATACGCCTTTTAGACGTAGATAATGAATGTTAAAATATTATGAGGGTAAAATAAACTTATCGGGTACTTTATCGCAACGAAGAGTTCAACTTCGGCGCGTCGCGTTCCGCACGCGCCTCAAAGAGCCATCAGACCACCACAGATGGGGTCCAACAGGGCCGATGCCGATTAGGAGTCGCGGAGGACCTAACGGGTAATCGGGGCTCCGGTTCGACGTGCAGGAGAAGGAACGGGGTGGTTTTTTTCAGTAAGAGTCTGACACTCCCTTTCGCCTCACCCAGGCGGGAGCAGTCGTTCGATGATTTACCCCCCTTAAAAAAAAGAGTAATTCAACTTAAACGTTTCACTGTTTCGCAATACATAGTTAAGTTCATTCAAAACGGTTTTTTATTCATTCTTCTTATTTAGTCATATATCCGGTTAAGATGAGCTGCCTGTGTTATGTTTTTGTCACAATAAAAGTCAAGGATATTCTTTTGCCGAAAATAGCATTAACTTTAATAATTCATTTTTGAATATATTATCCAAAATAAAATTACGTAACCTACAATTTTGACAATTTTCGATGATACACTTAGCTGAGACATAATTTGAAGTTTTGATGCCTTACTGAACTACATACACACAAATGGCGATCAAGCAGTCGCGGAGAACCTAACGGGTTACCGGAGCTCCGGCTCGACGTGCAGGAGAAGGAACGGGGTGGTTTTTAGTCAGTAAGAGTCTGACACTCCCTCCTGCCTCACCCAGGCGGAAGCAGTCATTCGATGATATTCCCCCCTAAAAAAAAATAAAAAAATCCGCCATACTCAGAATCATTTAAAGGTACCTATTATTATTGTTTATTTTTTAAACACATACAATTTCACATACTTACACATGACACCCAGACTCGAAACAACAATGTATTACACAAATAGTTGATCCGAGCGGGAATCGAACCCGCTACACGTTGCACGGCAGCCAGTTGCCCAGTTACTGCGCTGACCATGCAGTCAAATATCAACTTAACTCAGCCATTAACATCTATTTCCTTAATAAATATATTTTTTATGGTATAAGCCGGTAAACGAGCAGACGGATCATCTGATGGTAAGCAATCGATGCCCATGAACACCTGGAACACCAGAGGCTTTACATGTGTGTTACCAGCCTTTTGGGAATTAGGAGTTTGAGGATCGCTGGGAAATCAAGGATGAGGGAGATTGGAGAAGGGGAGGGGAGTAATTGGGCCTCCGATAACCTCTCTGACACGACGAAACAAAACGCAAGCGTTGCTTCACGTCGGTTTTCTTTCTGACCGGAGTAATACCACGGGTATTACTCCTGTTGAGCCGGCCCATTCGTGCCGAAGTATAGTTCTCCCACACTTGAATTATAAATAAGTTTCCTTAATAAATAATATTAACGATATGTACCTAATAGACAAACTGATTATTTAAATATGTTTTTTTTTTTAAACGTTGCCCCACACTAAGATTTTCTCCTGTGTCGTGGGTGCGTTTACAAACATACAAGTATAAGTTAAATTAAATTGCTCCGTAGTAGTATGTAATACCTCTATGTACATTGTGCAATAAATAAATTAATAAATTCTTACTTAGGATCAGTTTAAGTAAGTAATAAATATTTCGACTGTTCAATAAAATAAAATATTAAAAAATAATTACACTTTCATTCATTGATTTTATGACCAAGTTAATTTTAATATTTTTCCAGCTAATTTTTAAGAAATGAATACGCTGTTTGTCGCTAAAAAAACATGATGTCACTATACACAATCTCGTACAAAATTCATAGAAAACTGTCGTTTTTGAGAGTTCTAAAAAAGTATTGAATTTGACTAGTTGGCAAATACCGTATTGTCTCTGAGTACAGCAGCAAGTAAAATACTATGTAGTAGCAATAACGGTACCTCAGCAATGAGGACTATATAAATAATTGACTAACGGATAAACAAAAGCAGTATCGCTATACGACCCACGTGTTTATCAAGGTCAATGATTTGCGGAACAAATTTTTTTGTATGTAGGTAGGTATCTAGGTACGGCGACGAGCATAAATTGATTTTGAACTTTACCATCGTAACTGATATACAATTATGTAGTCGAAAATCCAATAAACAAAATTTATAGATTTCTAGTAAGTGGGTTATCCTGCTGGCCCCTGTGGTTACATGTTTCGTTTTTTTTTTGAGATAGAGGTAGTAGGTAGCTATAGTGTATATATATTATTATACAGGGCTAATATATTAATAAATAACCTAAATTTTTAATAAATGCTACATTTTCCAGCCCCTGTGACCTGCTATTATGCAGTAATATTAACCAGAGTCTGCAATTAGGTACCTATATTAACTACAGGAAAGTAATACAAGAAAACACAAAATTCGGATGAAAACTTTTATATTTTAATTCATTAAAAACAGATTCAAACACTAAGAAAAATTCAATATAAATGCAGTGTCTTTGAAAAACATACAAAAAGAACATAATTTACACAATTCGATTATGTGTAAATTATGTTTTTTTTTCAATACAGTAGATTAATTAGTCACTTGACTAAAAGTTTTACAAAAAAGTCGTCAATAAAAATCATAAAATTAAAAAGAAACATCAAATACAAATCACATAAAAAAAACTAAGTACAATAAAAAATTAAATGCGTTGGTAAAAAAGTCGAACAATATAATAACGACAAAAATAAAAACTGACAGAAATAGAATTAAAACTGGCAATGGCTTGTCAACAATATTTTATTACGTGTGAGATAAATATCTGTTTATTTATTTATATTTCAATATACAGTCGACAAAAAAAAATCCTATACAGGTACGAAAATAAAAATTATTTCAATGTCATCGTCCAGAGACTGGCTACCTGTTCCAGTAACTGTTTAGTTTTCATACTAAGTATAACAATAACTACAATATCTGTACTAAACCAATATTTATATTCTTACATACATACGAAATTCGAAACTAAAATATTGAATTTTAAACTGTATATATAGAACTTTCATACGGAGCATACTCTCAAGACAAATAGTACGATAAATGTGCCATCTACCGTTCGCTACGAAAACCAACAGACTTTACACCTAGCGGTTTTAGTTCGTAACTCTGCCGTATCAAAGTTACTGTGCGGCGCTAATGTCGATAAGTGAGCGGCTGATTTGTCAGCCATTTTAGTTATTATAATAGAGCGTTGATACCAATTTTAAATGCAATTATCAACGTATTTTGTGTTCCTCATTGTAATGTCAACTTAAATGTATAAAAATCGTAAAGAGTTATAAAATAAAATAATATAAAAAAATTAAAATAGGTAGTAAGTTAAAAACGTCGAGACAGAATAGGACTTATACTTACATCAGTAGGTACTAAAGACTAACTAAAAAATGAAACTAAAAGTATGAGAACTCCAATAATACTAAACAACCTATAATCTAACGATCTAACTCTACTTATATCTATGTTATAGTTATACGATGGCCTCAAGCTTTTTTGAAAATTCCATATTAATTATAAGCAATTCTATGTGTATAAATATAAAATACAATTTATATAATATATCTGATAAACTATACAATATGTGATACAAGTCATATTACGTAATATTTTTATTAAAAAGGTATATTTGTATGTTGTGATGTTCATATAATTATATAAAAAGTCTTAACTCTTAACATATACTTTAATGTTGTTTTTTTTTGAGACCTTACCAAATTTTTATGGTGTTGGTTTTTTTCGACTTTTAGACATTTTATGCATTACTGAAGTACTTAACAGAATTATGTATTTAGGCAATATTTTTTTCAAAATTAGTACATTGTATAGGTAATTACATATGCAAAACTTTAAAGCCTAATATGACATCGGGTCTAAAACAAATTAGGGCTCATTCACCCTATAATCCAGTTCAACTAACGTCTCTAATGACCAACCGATATCAACCCAAAATGAGCCAAAATATCTTCTCGTTATCTCTTTTTTTGTCAGAAACTTAAATCTATTCGGAGAATTTGGATTGATCGGTTTTAGTTTCGAACATTAATCGGATGGTCAACCAAATTGTTTTAAGGATACAACTTCGAGCACTATAACTTTGGTTTAACTCGAGCCCAAGACCCCGTTTTTACGTATGACCTTAAAAATAACTAGTATAAAAACGAAACAAATCCGCGTTAGAGATCTATTGTGTTCATTGTGTTTGTGATTATTTAAATCTATACCAGTCTTCAATGAATCACTTAATTCTACTATTTCAACAAAAAAATGTGATGTAAGGAAATATCTTGGTGATGATGTTGAGATATTTACGGAGTAAAACAAAAGCGTAACTATGTCCTGTCTTTTATGAACTCTCAACTCAAAGAAGAAACCTTTGCATCATTGAAGGTGCCTAAAGAAAATCTGCTACGTTTAATTTGCTGCAGTTTCCAATGGACATAGTTACACAACTGTTTAGAGATTGATGCATGAACACATACATAAAATAAGAAACAGCAATACTTGCTATTGTTAGCCTCAAGGTGTATCTTTAACTTTTAAGTTCCTTTAATTCAGTGGCTTCTTCACTTTCGTCTTTAGTCTTAGTACTTTCTAACTTATCATTTTGGGGAACAACGTTATATTTATCACCTTGTAACTCTGCCTGTATCTCTCTCAGATCCTTCCTCTTGGTTTCCATTACAAATATGTAACTGAACACGCCTCCACCAAACGCGAAGGCAGCAAAGATCCAAAATATAGTCGTCAAGCCACATAAGTCTTTGACTCTCTGGTATCCAAGCCCTATACCGAATCCTAAAGCCGCAGAAAAGAGGTTGAGACAGGTAATAGCAATAGCCTTTATATTGATAGGAAATATTTCTGCAGGGATAATGTAGATGAGGGAATTGAAGCCTACAGTGGAGATGACGTTGGCCAGGATTATACCGAGGAGTGGTATGAAGCTGACAGTGGCTAGGGTGCTAGTAGTGACCGCAAGGACTTCTTGCATGAAGAAATAAACGCCGACGGCTCCCAGGGAAACTCCAGTGCCAATGTAGGAGAAGATGAGTAGTGGTCGACGACCCACTCTATCTACTAGCACTGAAGACATCATACCTGAAAAACGTATGTAATTACTTACTTTAATTTATAGAACACGATCAATTAAAATACTTTAAGCCTAAGGAGGAGCTAAATTGAATAAAATCCTAATATTACAAAACTGAAGAGTTTATATTATATTGAACACGGTAATCACCGCAGGTAATCAAACGACTATCATAATAGAACAGACGGGCAGTGGAGTACATACCGACAACAAAAGAGACTGCACCATAGATGATGAGGGCGAGCGATGTCTTCATATCCGACTTGGTCTCTTCAATGATCCACCCCAAGTATTGCCTTATAACTACAGCACCAGTCATCATTTGTGTCAACTTTAATCCTGAAAACATGAAACAATATTTAAACATAAATTACATCGATCTTTAAAATGTTTTTTCTATATTAAAGTCCCAAATCACATCTTTGTGAAGAACAAGTTACGAACGAATCCTTTTTTATCCTTTTTTTTATCATTTAGGATATTGAAAAAAGTCAGTTATCATTGGCCGAGTGGTTGCAATTGCGACTGCTGGGCAAGGGGTCTTGGGTTCGATTCCCGGGTCGGGCAAAGTATTACTGGGTTTTTAAAAATCCTCAGTAGTAGCGCGGAGTCTGGAATTGTGCCCAGTATATGGCAATGAGCTCACCCCCTATTACATGGGACTCATAACATAAATAGTGAAAAGTAAGTGTTACATTGTACAGTGGCATTAAGTGCCGTAATGTACACGTCTGCCTACCCCTTCGGGGATAAACGGCGTGATATTATGTTATGTCAGTCATCATTATCATGAATCCAATCACAGCCACTGCTGAACAAAAACATCATTACGAGAATGCTGCTGCCCATCTGCCAATGGTAGGCCGTTATTTTGGGTTTCCGAGTGTGTCAAATCATCAATAAAATTGTACTGACCTACAGATATTATAATAGCTCTTCTGTACTGTCCTCCAGTAAATAACTCTTTCACAGAGCTGGAGTGCCTCATCTCATCTCTTACATTAGCTTGTAACGCCAGCAGTTCATCTTCTAAAACCTGAAACGGGTAACATCACATCACATCACATCATCACTCTGTAACTTTCCCAGTCCTGGGCAAAAACTCTTTTTATACGGAGAAGGAATACGCTTTAATCACGTGTGCACAAGGCATAAATTGAAATGGGGGCTAAAGTTTTTTATCCAATCACAGCTGCTGTCTAATAGTGAACATCCTATGGTGAAACACGGGATAATTCCCTATTGGACGAAGAACGAGAGGATCACAATAGCGCCTAATTAACCACCAACAGCCTATATGCCCACTACTGGGCAAAGCCTCTTCTCACTTCGGAGAAGGTTTAAGCATTGATCACCACGCATTGCTCAATGCGGGTTGCCGATTACAAACTTATAATTAGAAATTATAAGCCCACGTTTCCTCACGATATTTTCCTTCACCGTTTGTCAATGGTGTATAGATAATTTTAGAAACTACATGTAACTCGAAAAAACTATAGTTTTCGCACATTCGCACCTCATTTCCATTCCACAACCTGACCTAGAGGCTGCAATAGATAGCTCCAAGGTTACAATGTATTTTAAATATTTATATGGAGTTATAACACTTTTACCCATTTGTACAATAACACCATTAATGTTAATACATTATGTTTATGTATGTATTATAATGTTAATTAATTTTTATAATAACTATCGTAAGACATACTAAATTAACTAAAAATCGCGGGTTACTCACTTTTTCACTCACGGAGCTTTTCACAGTATATTCACGTGAGTAACCGGCGATTTTTAGTTAATATTAATTAATATTCATTATTATATTAATAAGGAACTATATTTACCTACTTATGTGTCATCGTTCAATATAGCTAAGTATAGTTTATGTCTATGGAATAGGACTGAAAATCGACTGCATAAACTGCTGTTGAATTTATTTAAATCTATACCTATTGTGATCCTCAACAATAGGTACAAAAACTAAGGATGTAGGTATACTTACATATATACTAATCTTATTAGTGTGTATTATGTAGTTAATATTGTAAAATAATATATAATATGAAGTACAAAATACATTAAATGATAAACAGTATTAATACCATTGAAAACTAATTATTATTGTCTGAAGAATAGAGCAGATTTCAATTTATTATAATAATAATTGTTTGTAAATAAAGACTTATAATTATTATTATGCTTTATGTTATTACATCTTATACTACCTCTATTATATAAAGCGGAAGAGTTTGTTTTTTTGTTTGTTTGTTTGTTTCTTTTTGTGTTGGATAGCGCATTTATCGAGGATGGTTATAGGCTATAAAACATCACGCTACGACCAATAAGAGCTGATCAGAGCGAGTGAAACCGCGCGGAAGTAGCTAGTTATTAATATGGACAAATGTCGACTGGTAGGGAAACGCATACAGTCTCACAGCTTTCAGTGTAACATACAATTTTATCTAAGTTCTACCATCAAAATTCCTGCTTACGTTTGAAATCCGAAAACGTCTTTCACGTAAAACAATGGTAGATTTCTAAATAATATAATTACCTTCTCATCCTTATATCCCCTTAAAATTCTTAGTGATGATCGAGCACCTTCCAGGTTGTTATTTTTCAAAAGGAAATATGGCGTCTCCGGGATCCAGTAGCACATAGCACAGAATAGAAAGGGTAGGACCAACATGACCTGGTTTAAGGTCTCATAAGGGAGGAAGGGACCCAAAATCATGGTCAGAAGTGTCCCAAACTTGAACATGAATCCCGTAATGACTGCTAGTGTACCCCTCACATCCTTGTCAGCAATTTCTGATAGGTAGTAATTGCTTACCTGGAAACAATACGAAAGGTGGTTAAACATCTATTCAATTTTTGTTGGCCGAGTGGTCGCAAGTACTGCCTGCCGGACAAGGGGTCTCGAGTTCGATTCCCGGATCAGGTAAAATATTAATGGGTTTTTTTTTAATTCTTAGTAGTAGCCCAGACTCTGGAATTGTGCCCGGTATATGGCAATAGGCTCAGCCCCTATTACATGGGACTCATAACATAAATAGTGAAAAGTGGTGTTGCACCTCTGCCTACGCCTTCGGGGATAAAAGGCGTGATGTTTTGTTATAAAACTAACTTATCAGTTTCTTCGTTTTTTACAGGGCGATGCGTATGCGCTCCACAAATTGCTGCGCGTTTTTGTGAGAAGTATTTGGGACAATACTGTTCATAAATGCACCCAAATACAATTACTTTAACTTTATACAGCTTTCACATCGAATAACGACATTTTGGCAAACGGTTTTCATGATTAAGGGTCCCAGGCTAGCTTGAAACTAGTCAGGCATCCTCGAAAATCGAAGTAAGTCATTTAAACATTACTTAATCTAGTATATACTTACTGTGCTGACCATTCCCGTCCCACAGCTCCATGAGAATGACGTAATGCATAACAACCATGCTTTTAGAGCAAACACGACGATTATCTGAAAATATTTATACAATACATGTAATATTGAAACAAATAATGTATTATACGTTAGATAGTTTATTACCTACGTGTGGTTTCACATAGATCACATTTGGGAGTTACGTAAAGAGTGTTTTTTGCATACAAATAGATTTCTCGTTTATTTATTTTTTTGTATAATGTTTTGTGTTGAACACATAATTTAAAATACATAAAGCGTCTCGTATGAAACTAAAACCTCGTATTCACTAGACAACATTTGGCGAGGCATGTTGCATAACGTGTTGCTCTACGAAGTCAGCGCCGAAATTTTGTTTAGCTACCTTTCCTGGCAATTGTTTATTGCGCGTCACGTCTCTGCTCGACAAACAATAAACCACGCATCATGTGTTGGGAATCCATGCTTTGGTACGAATGGGTCGGCTCGACCGGAGTGATACCACGGCCTCACCGACAACCGACGTGAAACAACGCGTTGTGTTTCGTCATGGGAGTGAGATAACCGGAGGCCCAATTTCCCCCCCCCCCCCCAACTCCTAATCACCAAAAGGCGGGTGTCCATGGGCGACGCCGATTTCTTACCATCAGGTGATCCGTCTGCTCGATTATCGACTTATCCCATAAAAAAAATGTTGCGCTACACTACCAGTTACCAATATCCCTCGATGTTGTGCAATGTGCAATGCTGTCAATCATAAGGAGCGTCTAGCGTTGCGCATCAAACGTTCCAAGTAGGTGCATACGAGGTTTTAATTTCCATGACGCACATGGTACAGAATAACATTTAAAAATAAATAGCTTTTATATACATTTTAGGTCGAATCAAGGTGTAAAAGAAGATTCCTGTCAGTTTGTTTTAGAAAGTAAAGCTACGTAGGCACGCATTCCATACCAGAATAAAATAAGCAAGCTGTGTTTGGCAGCTACTTCTCAATAGTCGACCCATTGTTGAATAGACAAATATGGCGGAAGTATTACCGCGCACGATGACTCAGTCGGTAACACAGAAGGTACACAATATCATCGTTAAATATTACCATCTTCAATTTATTTAATAGTTACTCCAACTATTAACGGATATAGTGTAGAGATAAGTAGGTCTATAGTTCTCTGGCCGGCTATAAATATAAGTAGATAATATAACCCATTGAGTTTTTTGATTAACAACTATTTAAGCAATTCAATTTTTGCGTTTGACAAAATTGTAGGTCCTTTTCTTTTGTACTAGCTACTCATTGATAATTTGATAATTTAGAAGCTCCAAATCTTGAATAAAATTATGTTCATTAAAACCCATATCATATAAATACCAAAAATTGGTTGCCTGTAGAGTCGGTATACGGGCGAAAGTTTTACGTGACAACGACTTTGAGTGGTAAAATAATTTTAATGCGATTATTCATTCGTATAGTAGGAAGAAGGATGAAATAATGAAGCGCAAGACATGAACCGGTGTGTATGCCTATCTCTCTCACTCTCTCTCTCTCGCTCTGTCTCTCTCGCTCTTAGGCGGGCTAACTGTGCTCGAGTGGAAGGGACGCGTGCCTTTCCCTTTTTATGTCTGTCTGTCTCGCTCTTAGGCGGGATAACCATGCCCGAGTGGAAGGGACGCGTGCCTCTCACTCGCTCTCATTGTGAGCGGAGCGTAACGCAGTTTCTTGAAGTGTCACCCGGCAAACCAATTTAAAAGACGTTGTCACGTCAAAAGAGAATGGATAACATAAATCTCGAAAAAAGAACCATCTAAAACTTATTTATGTACCAACAATGAAAAATAATTAAAGAACATATATATATATAACAACTAAACTATTGAATAAAAAGAAAACAACAAAAATTATACCCTTAAATAGGCGTCAAAATAACTACTTACTCGTCCGCATCAATATCACCGGGGAACGTTCCCAGAAGACTGGCATCATTGCCACGTTTAATGGCAATTGAGATACATACATTTCGTTACGAGCCTGTGGTGTGGTCATATCATAACTCAACACCGAATTGAAATCCTCATCTTTTTTTTAAAAATCGATTAAAAAACTTACCGAGCCAAGAGCAATAGGTATAGCACTTCCCAGGATAGTAGCTCGCCTCCCGAACCTGTCAGCCAGGTACCCAGTAGCCAATGTACCCACTGCAAAACCTATGGGATTTACTGCCAGCATCGTTGACATTTCATACTGAAAACAAAATAGGTCATTGCTTAAATATATGCAAAATCCTTTCTATATTAATATTATAAATCGGAAAGTAAGTTTTTTTGTTTGTGTTTGTTTGTTTGTAACACTTTCACGCCGTAACTACTAAACCGATTGCTTTGAATTTTTGCAGACGTAAAATTAGAACTCCGGATTAAATAATAGGGTACTTTTTAACCCGGATAAATTTGAAATTCCCGAGGGAAAACAAAAGTATTGGTATAGATGGCGCTGTGTGTATTGGTATATGTCACATAGACTACTTTTCATACTTTTGTGACGCGAGCGAAGCCGCGGGCAAAAGCTAGTTCATCTATATTTCTTGAATTTCTACCAAACCCTTTGTAAAATAAATGTTGTTTTCTAAATCTTGATCATCGAATCAGCCAGATGCTGCTGAATGTCTATATCATACGTAAAGCAATATAAACCATATGTTCTACCTACAACGTTTCTTTTAAACTGATTAATTTGGCCACAACTGCCAATAGCAGTTGGGTAAACAACTCTGCAGGAGATGCACAAATATGTAGCAGAACTCTAATACACCTGGATATATATATAACGAAAACAAACAAACGTGCAAGCCGACTTGGGATTTGGATCGCTGAATTTCCAGATTTGCAGTCCACCAAAAGATACCTTTATTTTTTAATAAAGATATCTTTCATATACAATTACTCAAGAGGTTAATAGATTTTTTAATCTATTAACCTCTTGAGTAATTGTATATGAGACGTAATAGAAAATACTTTGTGTCTCGCTCGCATTCCGGTTAAATTAAAATCTTGATCAAAGTATGACCTGAGATTTTGTAACTACCTACTTAAACTGTCAAACACCAAGCGGTCACCGGTGACCGCGACCTATTGTTCTTTAATTGTGTTTATAAAACCGGTACTCGACGAGTTAATATATTTGCACAGACAAACAGCCACTCGCGGCAATATTCCTCTTTTTAAACTTCGACAACCGTAATTCAGGACTGATTTTTCGCAAGCAACCCTATACCACCGTGTTCATAATTAAACAATCTTTATCTTAATTTAAATTTGATTTAATTGTCAGACTGTTCCAAAATCCTACTATCAATTTACCTGTTTAGACCTGACCCGAGAGTTATGACAGAAAAGCAATAGGCAACCTAACGTTTCCATATTCTATGGGCTATATACTTTCGATTGGAATGGAATTGGTTTAATAATGAAACCGGTGAAACATTGAAAAAACAGTATTTTTTTTATTATTAATTAATCATATCCTGGACTGAAATTTATTAAGCCACCCATATGGAATATAATATTTAAAAAACCCAGTAATACTTTTCCCGACCCGGTAATCGAACCCGAGACCCCTTGCCCGGCAGTTGCACTTGCAACCACTCGCCCAATGAGGCAGCCATTATATTTTAATTAAAGATTATTATAATATTATTAAATAACAAACATGTAACCATAAGTATTATATCATTGACGTCATAGAACTTCTGCTATCAATAGCTGCACATTTTCCTGGCCTGTATGACAAATGACCATAATATTGTAATGGCACTGCAAACAATTAATTATGAAACTTGCTTCTACTATCCACGCCACGTTAGCCCATTTTGAATACAAAACGTTTCATTAATGTACTCGCCTAATACGATAAATAAATGCCAACAAATTAAAGATTATGAAAGCTCCTAGTTTAGCTTTCATTCTATTTCTCTGTTCTAGTTCTTTACTACCTCATTGGCCGAGTAGTCACTAGTGAGACTGCTGGACAAGGGGTCTCGGGTTCGATTCCCGGGTCGGATAAAGTATTACAGGGTTTTTTTTTAAATCTCAGTAGTAGCACGGAGCTTGAAAATGTGCCTGGTATATGGGCTCTAGGCAATAGGCTCACCCGCTATTACATTGGACTCATAATAATAATATAAAATAGTAAAAAATGGGTGTTACATTGTACAGTGCCGTAATGTGCACCTCTGCCTACCCCTTCGGGAATAAAAGGCGTGATGTTATGTTATTTACTTTTAAATCTATGTATGTACCAACAACAAAAAATATTGTAACAATCGGTCATGTATCTTTTCTTAATATAAGTAGGTTAATCTCGTAAAAAAATAAAATATTATAGGATAGCTTACGATGACAAAGACTACCCCAGGATATAGTTAAGTCATTTGGAGAACAGTCCCTCATCTCTGTGGACGCAAATATATGTGAAATCAATGTTTGTAAAGTACTTTTGCCTTTTTAGGGAGAAGCTCGCCACAACCTCCAAAAACACTGTAGCGCCTGTAAGCCAGAATCTACAGTAGACCTACAACCAACAAAATGTCGAAACAATGAAATCATTTTAAGTGTGGGAGAGCCATGCTTCGACACGAATGGGCAGTCTCGACCGGAGTGATACCACGGCCTCACAGAAAACCGACGTGAAGCCACGCTTGCGTTGTGTTTCGTCGTATAAGTGAGGTTACCGGAGGCCTAATTACCCTCCCCTTCCCCAATCTCCCCAATTCCTGAATCCCCAACGATCCTCATACTCCTAATCCCCAAAAGGCCAGTAACGCACTTGTAACGCCTCTGGTGTTCCAGGTGTCTATGGGTGACGCCGATTGCTTACCATCAGGTGATCCGTTTGCTCGGAAATGAATCAGAGCACATTTATTTGTTTCTTTTTAAAAAAAGCGTTACCCCACACAACGATTTACTCCTGTGTCGTGTGTGCGTTTACAAACATACAAGTTCACATACACGTCACACCCAGAACTGAAACAACAATCTGTAGATCACACAAAGAGTTGCTCCGTGCGGTAATCGAACCCGCTACACGTTGCGCGGCAGCCAGTTGGCCAACCACCGCGCCAACATCATTAGAAAGGAAGAATAGAAAAGGATACTTATATAGAGGTAATATTCTTACCGCATTGATATCTACATTGGTCTCGTTGTTCTTGAACTTCGGTAGCACTGGTGTCGGCCAGGCCGAAGACACTCCAAGTGTCATCATTGCCATGGACACTGCAAACATATTATAATGTCAACAACTCCTGTAATTACACCCTTCCTCTATTACTTTGATCAACAATAACAACTTGCTATTGTTGATCGAAGCTCTATTATTATTAGTTTCTGTCACTACTCAAATCAGTTTTATGCTGCTATAATTACCAAAATAAATACTAATTGACTTTGTTTTTATAATAACTATCGTGAGACATACTAAATTAACTAAAAATCCCGGGTTACTCACGTGAGAAAAGCTCTACTAGTTTTGAACTACAGAGGGGTTCTTCTTCATGGTTGACTTAAGGCTTGATGATTGACATGATCGACTTGAGATCACTAATTGACTTGAGAAAAAATTTACACGGACTTGAATATCATATTATTTTCTTGATAAAGTTTAGAATAAACTACGCATAGTCATAGGAAATGCAAAATAAAATACTGAAATCATCTTTTAGCACTCAATCAACTTTAACTTACCTGACAGTGTGACCAAGTAGAGCTTTTTTCTGTTTCCGTTCTCCATTATCTGCGTGAAAAATATTTGGTTAATTGAATAGTTTTTTCTTTAAGATAAGATAGATGGAAGACACCTAAATATTCTAGAAAGTACTTAAATAGAAGATTAATTGGGACAAACCGGTAGCAGACCGATCACCGGATGGTAAACAATCGACGCTGCCCATGGACACCCTCAAGAGGTGTTACAAGCGCGTTCCTGGCCTTTTGAGATTGTTGGGGATTCGGGAATTGGGGAGGGTGATTGGGGCTCCGGTAACCTCAATCACGCGACGAAACACAACGAAAGCGTTGTTTTAAGTCGGCTTTCTCTGCGGCCGTGCCATTCGCCCATAGTCCAGAGTCCAAGAGTATCAATCCTGTATGTAATACGCAGTACCGGTCTAGTCGGCATCATAGCTGCAGACAACACGTACCTCCTGTACGGTGCGGGGGCCCGCGCGCAACTGAACAATGAAACGTTGTTTCTCCCAGTCCCGTCCAGATTAGCGCCAAAACCGTAACGACAGTAAACCTCTCACGAGGACAGTTTGTGTACTACACAAATGACAATAACGCACCAAGTAAAGATGTGAATTTGGAGTATTCTTTCATAATCAGTTATGTTTTGACAAAATTGCATAAGTGACGATATTGCACCGTAGGTGCGAACATAACGGGTTACCGTTCAAAGCAGGAGTAGGAAGGGGGTGATTTTTTTTTAGTCAGTAAGACACTCCCTCTTGCCTCACCCAGGCGGGAGAAGACATTGGATGATTTTCCCTTCTTCCAAAAATTCCTATTATTGGGCATGGACAAAAAAGTTTTGATAGCGTTTAAGCTACGTTACTGTGTAGAGTGAATCATTCATAGAAGAAAATAATGTATCGTGTTTAAAATAAAAGTTAACTTTACCAATCAAGATTTAATAATAACTTCAGATTCAACACGAATCCGTAAAAGATTCGGTACGAAATTTTACAAAAAGTTAGATAGACTCTCCTGATACTGGAACGCGACCTGGATTGTTAATTTTTTATGCCTGTCCCGCAGACCGGATAAAAAAACCATTAAACAAGCTCTGAACAAACTCTGAATAATAGATAAATACCTACAGTAGGTACATTGTAATGTTTATTTCCACACTGTTCATAATGCAATAAAATGTAGCAAAACATTAAAAGGATCTAATGAACATGATGTTAAAGATCTTGCAACGCAAAGAACTGGAGCGCGATGTCATGTAGCGTAAAGTTCTAAATCCCATTGAATGCCATTGCCTTGCGAATTTGAACTCTATGTAAATCACTATTAAAATTAAAGCAATAGGTACATTTGATAAATCAACCATAGCATTATTAATACTATATTACCTTGACAATGACAATGAACCGCAATCAGCGGTCGGGAACAGAAACAGTGGATACGGAACGACAGTAATGTCAAATTCCGCTTTTCTCAGTCGGCTCCGGCCCAATGTGAGGTTATGTTTTGACTTTTATGACACCGATGGCAAGATAAGTGATTTCCTCGAACAAATAATGTAAACTATCTATAAATATATCGAAAATCCAGAACTTATAGAGGTCAAATCATAGGGATAATTTATCGTATTCCCATTACTCAACTACGGACAATTGAACATCTAAACAAATATTATCTATTAGGTAGGTATTCCCTAATTGTGTTTGTGGAATTCCCGTTCCGAAGCTTTATCACTCTACATGTTAAAGCAAAATAATAAAAATCGGTACTCACGCTCTTATCAATAAAGTGCGAAAAACTAAGCTCATATCTTGTGATTCTCTATGAAATAAATAATTTAATTTTACAGAAACATTATACACACAAACACTTGCGATGTTTCATTTACATTTATGTGATGTTTTCGTATTTATTTAATTAGTTAACTAAAATAAATGCTTAGGAACACGTCCGAGCTCGACGCTCGTTTGTTTATTACTGATTTGGAAATGGAATGAGTTTTCGAAGCACAAGGACATAATGATTATAAAAAGCAGACAGGCTATGACACATTGCAATTTGCAATTGCCCGTTCAGACGTACCTAAGTATGCCGAGTACAATAACCGGCGTATCTTTGAGTTTTCAATTAGGAATTTAATGTAAACAACTACCAAATAGACACATGCGTAATCTGTACCTATATTATACGGATTATATCTACTTAATATGAAGATACGTACATACATATTATGTTAATGTACGTTTTCCTTAGATGTTTTTACAACCATCTGTTTTCGCTCGTATACAAAGAAGAGTGTTTTTGATATTCGTATAAAGTTGAGGGTTTACATCTGGTCTCCAAATAAACTTAACACAACTCATCACAAACAAAGATTTTTGCTACCTGTTACCTGTTGTATACCATGTTGTATACCTCCGCGTTAAATAAAATATGAATCACAATAACATAACATAACACCAAACCTGTAGGAATCTAGATTAAGGCTTTGGCTGCCAATAAAAAACTATTGAAGGCAAATCCTCCGCTAACGTCGGTCACCGGTGACTGCCATGGCGTTTAACGTGTTAAAAGTGCACAATATTTATGTAATAGCCATCTTCAGTAAGTGAGGTTTTAAATCCCATGTCATAGGAGGCGAGCCCATTACCATACACTGTGCTCAAATCTACAATAAAAGAAGTCGAAATCCAAACATCCCGAGGGCCTCATTTTTTATTTTATTTTTTTAGGGGTGAAAATCATCGAATGACTTCTCCCGCCTGGGTGAGGCGAGAGGGAGTGTCAGACTCTTACTGACTAAAAACCACCCCGTTCTTTCTCCTGCACGTCGAGCCGGAGCCCCGGTTACCCGTTAGGTTCTCCGCGACCCGAGGCCCCCTTAAGGTGCTCCCACACAGCAGATATACATAACGTTATAATTTGTTGCAAAACAAATGTTATTAAGTCAGTCTCTAACGTTATGTAACTGCTGTCACATTTACTCTACAGTCGCGCTTACAGCCGCTTAACTAACGAGGCATTCCTATCTACCCATTTATCCCCAAGCGGTCACTGGGGACCGCTCTCCACTAACTACATTATAGACCTAGAGGCGAGAGGGAGTGTCAGACTCTTACTGACTAAAAACCACCCCGTTCCTACTCCTGCACTTCCAGCCCGAGCCCGAAAACCCGTTAGGTTCGCCGCGACTCCGTATCGGCATCAGCCCTATTGGGCCCTCTGTGGTGGTCTGATGTCTCTTTGAGGCGCGCGCGGAACGCGACGCGCCGTACGCATATATGTATACTACTGAGAATTAAATAATACAATTGTTTTATAAACTACGTTTAAAAAAACCGACTTTAAACCCCCCTTTTTTAAAGTCGGTTAATTAAATATACTAAACCGTTCTCCTAAGTGTAACAAACACTGTTCTGAAAACCGCATCAAAATCGCTTCAGCCAATCGCGAGCTAATCGCCCAAAAATATACATAAATAAAAATCAAAACCTAAAAACTTTCTTTTTAAGTCGGTTAAATAAAGATTTATCCCAATGATAAGAAATGCCCAATCCTAGATTAAAACCCACCACGACCTAATCAATCGATGACCATTACTAACATTAATCAATCTAAGCCTTGGCAAAATTATCCAAAATTTTCCGAAGTTTGCCTAAGTTGGAACTTAATGAAATGAAAAATTATTTATATGAAGCGAAAGATGTAAGTACCTATGTTTGAAACTTCGATTATGACTATTGTAAGCTTTATTGGAATCGGCCAACGTAGCAAGGGTTGAGGCGTCATGCACACATAAATGTCCTACAGTCGGTGGCGCCTTGTGTTGGGTTGTTCCGTTCCCAATAAAAAGGTTGACCGGACTAATTGCTGACACACACGTCATACTCGTGAACGGGTGCCTTCTGCTGGGTCAGGTCGGCTCTCCCATCTTGTTGGTGGGCTGATTTCGTAGAGCCGTCAAAATAGATATAAATAGATAATAGGTATTATGTAATTTATACTTTTAGTAATAATTATAGATGTGGTTAATTGTAGTGTGTAACTAGGTTTACTTATTAAAAATTAATGACACGTATTGTAATAAAAAAATGTATGACAAGGGCACGGACCGAGAGTCCGTGGAGAATTAATCTGTAACATTACAATAAAAAAAACTTTGATTATATCTGTCTACCCTAATGGAAGATTGAGGGCTTGACAGTATCTATAAATGAATATGGATATCACTAAAGAAAATTATAATTAATATTATCATAACTACCTTTAAGATGTACGAGGAACAGGAAACTCTATAAACCACAAACTTTTAACTAATTTAATTCCTCACAAACTTTATACACTGAACCCTGCGAATACGCAGATGTTACCAGTTCAAAGGGCTACAGTACACTAATTATAAAGCCAACGTTGTTTCACTTTTATATAAAGGTTACCTCCCCAAAAACGATATCTCGATGCCTCCGGGACTTTTTTGATGAACTCACCTTTGAAAGTCCCTCACAGTGGCTTATGAAGGCGGGGCACACCGCTATCGTGTACCATGACCCTAAATTGTTTTATCTTGTACTGATTGCTATACTTGTTAGATTAGTCACATTATAATTACACCTTGCATAACTTTTATAGCCATAGTTACCAATCTTGGTTTGTATTTTAGAGTTAGGGTAGGTCTGAATTCAACTCGCAATAGGGATGATGTGACAGGTTATGAAAATTAAAAATATAATTAGTCCGTAAGTTAGATAACGAAAAAATATTAGACATGTATTTTTTACGTATAATTAAACAATACTTAGATAAAACTAATAAAAGTTTAGGAGCTAAAACGTCATTTCTACGAATAAAATGTACATAGAAGTGAAGTCACGCGACATTTCAAATCAATATATCTTCGAAAGTATTGGTTCCTACTTCCTGTAAGAAAATAAAAAATACGTGTCTAATGATTTAAAATAATCTACCAGACGGACATTAAAATAAAAATTAGGCATCTACCCTATTCGCCGGATTTTTTCTGGGCAAGGTTAATTTTTGCATATTTTATTTTTTACTAAAAATAGGTACTTAATATTATACTTGGATGAAACTCATTAGTTTGAGACTGGCTTGCCACTACAACGTGAGTGTGGAAAAATTTGCATTTCTTGCCTTTTTTAGCTATAAGAACTACAATTAGATAATACAGTTGCCGATCGCACAGCGTTTGCGCTTAATGTACCGTATCGATAGATATTGCCAAATATCAGATAACAGCATTGTAATATTTTTACCGACTTCATTTCCACTGATAAAGTCACAAATATTGTGCACTTATAATGACGTAAGAACTTTAGCATTCAATTAAAAGTACAGGCTTAATTAATTAATAACCGAAAATTATGATATTTTATGTTACTTATCATAAAAAAATCCCAGCCGCGCCGTGCCGTCTGTTCTTAAAAAAATAAATCAAAATAATTATATGAGACATTAAAATTATCCATTCGACTTCAAACGAAACATAAAAATACTTAAGTTTTTTTTAAACAATGAATAAGTTTGTTCCCTCTCCTACAAAATGTTCCTAGAATTGTGCAAGCTGAATTTACAGATTAACAAAGAATGAATTTATTGTATATCCCAAATTACAAGTACCTATGTATGTTGAAATTATAAACAAAAGAACAATAGATACTTGTTATACATAATATCAACACTCTTTAATATCTTTTAAGCGACTGCCTCGTTGGCCGAGTGGTCGCAAGTGCGACTACAGGGCAAGGAGTTTTGGGTTCGATTCCCGGGTCAGGCAAAGTATTACTGGGTTTTTAAAAAAAATCTCAGTAGTTGCACGGAGTCTGGAATTGTGCCCGGTATATGGCAATAGGCTCACCCCCTATTACATGGGACTCATAACATAAATAGTAAAAGTGGGTGTTACATTGTACAGTGGCATAATGTGCACCTCTGCCTACCCCTTCGGGGATATAAGGCGTGATGTTATGTTATGTTATGTAGTATTATAAATTTTGTACGTTGATTTTTTTTTAATTTTAATTATATAAAATTCATATCTGAGAGGGAAACGCCAGGAGCCCATAGCACAGATTATCCTAGTTTGGGTTCCTGACTTCCATCATTGCATTGTCACTTAAACTATGCAAAACCATATTATGTAGAACCAGTCTCTCACAACTTTATCTACATCACTATGTAATACGATTTATTATTATTATGAATCCCGGAGAGAAGGGTAAAGACATATCTATAACATTCACGGGACCACAGGGACCCGGTCATTTGGGAGGTGAACGAGGGGCCGAAGCCAACTGCGCAGAGGCCCTTTAGACAACTTTAATATAAAAGTATAATGTAATGGACACATAAACCGGCAACTATCCCTGTATGCACTAAGGAAATGCACCCAAAGACAGTCCCCGGTTAGTGTAGAACTATTGTAGATAATGGAAAAAATGGGGCTGTGGATCGATAAATTGGAAACTATGGCACCTGCCGAAATAATGTAATTGTTACACGTAAAAATGGCAAGTGGAGGACCGCCAACTCACCGACCGGGCCCCGGGAATGGTTGCTAGATATATCAACAGAGGGACAACGAGAATGTGAGTAGCTGAAGGGTTAAAAAACTACCACCGCTTTCTACTCATATCATCTGGTCCAGCCGAAGCCTTCTGCAGTCCTGGCCCACTCGCAATCGCAACTTACGAATAGTTGCTTACCCTCCGAGCCGGATCACTGCTCTCGCGACTCTACTCTGGACGGCCAATGAAGGCAAGCCAGAGAAAAAAAAAGCCAGAGATGGGAGACCTGTACCTTGTCATCATTCACTCCACCCAGCCAATTAAGGCAAGCCGGAGAATAAGGAACGGTGACTTCTCCCTGGAGCACTCGGGATGATGGTAGCCCGCGGGGTCGCTAATGCCCGACACCTTGCCACAAGGTGCCCTGCAGGCTTATTATTATTTGTAATTACTGCCTACTCTCAAAGCGTAATGTAAGAGTCCGAATACTTTAGTATAGTTTATTTTTTAGGAATGATGTCGAATGTTTGAGGAGCTAACAACATTAAAACTATGCCATTATGGCAACACTCAATGAAAGTACATTGATCATCAGCTGTAATCGAGTTGGTTTAGCGTATACTTTAATGTTCAAAAGGTACTAGATTGGAATTTATGTGAATAAAACTTAGAAGAATTTCATTAAACATGCAAAAGAGTAATTCGGAGTGAAGCTCGGCTGATTGTATTTCAAATATAAAATGAATTTCAGTAGAACAAGAAGCTGGACAGAATTAAGATTATGTTGTCGCTCGAATAGTGGCTATGACGGTTGGGAATCGTATTACTGTTTAACTACAGACTGCAATAAACGATTTTATATGTAAAAAAATAAAAATTGTTTAAATTACCTTAAGAGGTTAATTTTATTTGGTTTGTATTAACGACCTGTGGCGCCCTCGTTGATTTTCATTAATAAATAGACAAACTGTCAAAATCAAAGCATTTATTTTGAATTGTCCGTCAGTCCGTCTGTCTGTCAGTGAATCTAGGCGTTTCGTTCCAAAGTGTTGTTTCGAATGGAGATGAACGAGTTAAAAGAAACTCCATTGAGAAAAGTCATTTCATTTCATTTATTCACTAAACAATTTACATTTTATCTGAATGTAATTTCAGTTTTATGGTTTTTATTCAGTTCTGTTACTTTCTATATTCTATATTTTTTGTAATGGCAACAATTTTTCAAAAGTAAAAAGACTTGTACTCATTTCATGTTTTATATTGTCCGTCAACTTAATTAAAAAAAAAGTCATTTCGAAAGTGTCGTGTGGCATTGGTGTATCTTCATGTTGAATTATCGCTAAAATTTTATATTCTATTGAATAGTTACAATGTCAGAGCATGTGTTACCGGCCGAAGAGCCGATTAGATTTGTAGCTCCAATAATTCAAGATAATCCCACAGGATGGGGCCCCGCCGAAATGCCGGAGCAATTTCGAGACATGCCTTACCAACCTTTCAGTAAAGGTGATCGTTTGGGTAAAATAAGTGATTGGACTGTCGTACAGGACAAGAAATATCAAAGTAAGTTTAATACTTTTCACAACTTCTGTTTATAACGCCGAAATATTGTTCAAAATGTTAATATTCTTTGAGGTTATGATGACGTTTTTTGCAACAGCATTTCTCGGTCTTACGCTGAACCATAGTGTATAGAAGTGACAGTGGACGATTCCGAGACGACTTCTGAGAGTTTACATTACATACAGACAAATCTGTGTAAATACATCATGACTGTACAACCTAGTCTAGTTTCGGTATTAATTTCTCAAGTCAAATAAAATAGCATAATTTACTGCTTTTTTAATAGAGTTTCATTCATTTTCAGATAAGTATGCCTCTCAATTTGGCGCTGGTTCGTCGTACGCATACTTCCATGATGAAGATGAGAGTACTTTCCATCTGGTGGACACTACAAGGGTGCAGAAGCCTCCATACCAGCGTGGCCGTGCTCGCGGACAAAGGGGCCGCGGTGCCAGGGGCGCGCGTACGCCTGGAGGCATGACTACCCTCAACAAGGGCAACTACATGAGGAATGTAAGTCACTTACCCTCTATATCAAGAACTTACATAATTTTTACTGTACCATCCTGTTTTTGTAACAATGTATTGTGTCATATAGTTTTAGCTTTCATTTCAAGTTATTGAGAACACTTGAAATATTTAGGTAAAATAGTCCAATTACTTATCCAATTTTGAAGCTAACTGACCATTCCCAACAGTCACAGATTCATATAGAGAAAAAGAAACATGAAAACCCATTGTTTACTGTTTTTGAAAACATCATGTATATTCAATTCATATTTTAAAATTATAGCTTTTATTCAGAACTTAGCATGGTTATAGCTAATGTCTTCCGTACTCCTGGCAAAATGTCAGCCAAATTAGCTAAGTTGGTGAGGTATAAAGAGCTAACAAACATACTTTCACAATTATAATATTAGTTAAGATTTACATATGTGACTACAATATTATGTAATATTTATATTAATTTTATATTTATTTATATTATATTTCATGCCATCATGTTGTTATAGATAAACTTTCAACGATGTTTAATAAGGTAGTAAACTTAACAAATTAAAACTATGACTGACAGCAAAAAACCGTTCACCTGTGGTCCACTACAATTGGTCACCCGTGTCCCGAGTGGCAGCTAACATGTTAATTTTGATCTGGAGTTCTAATCATCCATTTTCTTCAATTTTAAGCAACGAGATCGTAAACTTGGCAAGAGGTGGGGCCAGAGAGGTGCTCCGATGAAGATCCGTGATGCTTCCGTCACTGTAAGACCTACCTGGGTCACCATTGAGGACATGGACTTCCCTCGTCTCGCTAAGTTGTCTTTGCCAGGAATTAAAGAAGGTACATTTTTATCAAGATATCAATCCCTATTTCTGTCTTTTGAGGTACTTTTAAAAAATGACTGAATGAAAACCTTTAAGTAAATTAAGTTTTACTCAGAACCATTATTATAAGTTTAAATGAAAATATATTATAATAATTACTTTTGCCACAGGCCCCTAACTAGAAGGGGTTCCATTCAGAGGTTGTCTGAATGGAATATTATCTGAACTTCTCTGTATTTTATTGGCAATGTGGGCCCATCAAACGAATTTGTTACGGGCCACAAACAGTGGAATTAAAGTGTTCTATTCAGCTGAATAGAACTTGATTTCTTTGATTTTGAAGACGAATTGTTTGATATTTACAATATATATGTAGTTTCCACCAACTACATCATATTTAATTTCGTCCCTTATTACAATATCACACACTAGATTATTAAAATGTGTGGTGCCAACAGCGTACATTTGTCACACTAACTCTTCCTGCGAGTGACGTACATGCTCCTGTTCAACAATAGTTGTTATTGTAAAACAACAACATAACATCACGCCTTTTGTCCTCGAAGGGGTATGCAGAGGTGCCCATTACGGCACTTAATGCCACTGTAAAATGTAACACCCACTTTTCACTATTGACATTACGAGTCCCATGTAATAGGGGGTGAGCTACTACTGAGACTCCCGTGCTATTACTGAGATTTTCTTAAAAAACCCAGTAATACTTTGCCCAACCTGAATCGAACCCGGGTCCTCTTGCCCGACAATCGCACTGCGACTATTCAGCCAACGAGTTTTCAGTCAGTTTCTGTTTCCTTCAGTCTGAGTTCCTGTCCACTGTTGAACTGGCCTCTTCAATAGCATGCCACTATGCTACTACTAACTACTTGCAACCACACTGAATCTTATCTATTTTGATCATGTTACAGGTGAAGACATTGTGTGCTGTGGTACATTGGAGTACTATGACAAAGGCTACGATCGTGTCAATGTGAAACACGAGAAAGCGCTGCAGCGTATCGATCGTATCTTCCATACGGTAATTACTTTCCACAACACTACAAACTACACAATACATATAAAACTTTTGACACAGGGAGCAAATAATTCTTTGCAGCTTTCCAAAGGTTATTGATTATAATTTCATAATCGAAAATCTCTAATAACACTTTACACAATGCAAGCTCAACTAGCTTGAGCTGACCAGTAATAAACATAAGTCTGTTCCATAGAGTTTGGTAGAGACCACACCTGGAGTGTGTTGAAACAACTAAATTCATTATGTTTATCTACTATACTATGGGACTATGTACTTTTTTATTCTATTTTTGTTAAGAGGAGTAAATGGTTACATTATAAAGTCTTACTAACTACATAGTTTACACAAGATACATTTTGGGCAATAATGCAACTTACAACACTGTCATGTCACATACACATTAGAATGTAATATGTAACTACAGAAATTAATAAATCACTAGAGTCGAAAGTTGTTTACAAAATAAAACCTGTTGTGTATAAAAGAGAGTTGTGAATAAGTTGCTTGAATTTACCCAATTGAAAATATCAATATGTATCTTCAAAGGATTCATTGTACGAGTGAACCATTTGATAGATAGGTCAACGCAGAGTAAAGTTAGTTCAGCATGATGGCAGTGCAAAGTGTGCCAGCGCGTACTTGACGCCTGTTGTATGTTCTGGGTACTGCATAACAGATCATATTGCTCAGTGTCATACAATTGTATTGGTTTCTAACCACCAAAAGGTATTATACAACATAAAGTATTCTTTATGTTGTATAATACCTTTTTATTTGATTCTTTTATATGTTGTTCTAGGTGACTACTACTGACGACCCTGTAATCCGACGACTCAGTAAGACGGTGGGCACGGTGTACGCCACCGACGCCATCCTGGCCACCATCATGTGCTGCACCCGCTCCAACTATTCCTGGGATATTGTCATTGAGAAGATTGGTATGTACCTCAAATACTTATCAAGCCATTTTAAATCATTTATAGAATCACTCTCTAAGGCCCTTGAAAGACAAAATATTTTTCAAAAATAAATTCTATTACAGTTATCTTTCCTTCTTTTTTTCTACTTAACCTCTGATTTAACATCTTGTTGTTGATATATGAGACACAATAGAAAACACATTGCCTTGCAAAGATCTGTGGTCTGACACTTCACAGGTTAAATGACTTTTTGGAAGGAAATTGAACACGCAACCCCTTTCTTACTGGTCGTGCTTTGCGACCCTTCGAACTACAAGGCAGTCGTGAATATTATTACATTTTCTTTTTTTATTGACATAAAATTGTCATTTTTGTTTCATAAAGGTGACAAGCTGTTCTTCGACAAGCGTGACAACACGGAATTTGACTTGCTGACGGTGAACGAGACTTCGGTGGAGCCGCCGACTGATGATGGCAACTCCATCAACTCGCCGCGCAACCTCGCACTCGAAGCGACATTCATCAACCACAACTTCAGTCAACAGGTCAGATTGTAACCATTTTTATGTACATGTGGCGACACATATCACATGTCAAATGACAGTTCACGCACATAAATTATCAATAAAACAAATCAACGGATGACGTAACAAAAATCCTACATCGCACATGTGAAGTTTACATGCGAATTAACACCGATAGAAAATCACAACGAACAACTGTTGGGCAGAAAGCCCACCAGGCACGATCACCTCGCCTGGTCGAAGGATCCCCTAAATACATAAGTACCAAATTTATTAACCTTTTCTGTGCCAGTATGAGACACAATACAATACACATTGTGTCTCTTGTAGATCAGAATTCCATACCACAGATTAAACATCACTCCAATTAATTCCCAAAGGGATATTATAGGCAAACAGAGGTGCACAATACATTAAAAGTAACACCCCTTTTCTCATCAATTATATTATATATGTTAGTCAAGTATTAAACACATAAATAAGCCTCACTGTACCTTAGGAAAGTGTAGGCAAATATGCACATGAGAAAAATATAAAACACTGTATCACCATTTCTGTTAGTAATTCGATTTTGATCTAAGCAATACGCAAATAGTACATTATGCAATATGAAGATAGTTAGTATTCTGAAGACAGCAATACTAGCTCACTTAGTTCACATTAACATATTGAGCTGAGTTTTCAAAAAGTTTCTAATGACCCAAATAATGTTAACATACCTCCTCCCTCCTAAATGCAAAAAGTATTGTTATATAATATTTTCTTTACTTGTAATGTATTTTTATAATCTGCAGGTGTTGAAGAATGGTTCTGTTGAGCCTAAGTACAAGTTCCCCGAGCCAAATCCATTTGTGTCTGAGGAGGAGGAAGGTGAGGTAGCCTCCGTAGGGTACCGCTACCGCAAGTGGAACCTTAACAATGGAGTGGTAAGTTGTTTATTTCTCTAAATATAACAGTAAATCTTTTAATCTCCAAAAAGTTATGTGGTTATGTCTTCATTGTCTCTTGATTAGAAGCCCCAATGTGACTCGAAGTTAGTCTAGCACTCTCGAATATTTTACAAGGCGATCATATAATACGTAACACCCACTTAATACAGCTACAAGTTCCATGTAATATAAAATTTTACCATATCTTGCTCAGCAGCTGCGCTTGAATACATTTAGCCACAAAAGATCCCGAATCTTAATATAATATATTTTTTCAGACTTTGGTAGCTCGATGCGAGCATGACGCCGTGATGCAAGGGCCTCAGAATGAGACCCAGTTTTTGAGCATCAAAGCTCTGAACGAATGGGACTCCAAACTGGCCAATGGAGTGGAGTGGCGTCAGAAATTGGATACCCAACGCGGTGCCGTACTCGCTAACGAGCTGAGGAACAACTCCTGCAAGCTTGCCAAGTGGACTGTGCAGGTATGATCTTGCAAGAAATATATTTCCGTAATTAAAGTTTCTGCAAAAACCTTTCTTGATAAGAATAGGTAAACAGCATTGACGCTTTCAAAGATTACACAAAAATAGCGCCAGCTTTCTCCAATTTTGTTGTGAGCCTCTATGGCGTTAGTGGCTACTGTCTAACGGGCTGTGTAAAGATACTATGAAATCTGTTCTAAAATAGTATTTTTATAATTTTTCAGGCTCTTCTAGCGGGCTCTGACCAGATTAAGTTCGGTTACGTATCCCGTGCCCAAGTGCGTGACAACTCTCGCCACGTGATCCTCGGCACGCAACAGTTCAAGCCGCACGAGTTTGCGGCACAGATCAACCTGTCCATGGACAACGCGTGGGGCATCCTACGGTGTATCATCGACATCTGTATGAAGCAGAAAGATGGTAAACATTTCATAATAATGACATTTTCTTAATGTTACCTCACTCTAGTAATTTCTCCCGCGCCACGGTCTCATAAACATTACACATAGATGTTCCGTGTAGGAATCGAACCCGCAACACGTAGTTCAGCAACCAATTGCCTAGCCACTGCGGTTTTTAACACTATTTTGTAAATAAAGTTAAAAATCTAATAAAACATTGACAGATCCAAGTAGATCGACTTCCTAGCGACAAGTACTTATTAAGAACAAACTATACAATCGTGAATTTTAATTATTCCAGGTAAATATCTAATCATGAAGGACCCCAACAAGCCTCTGATCCGCCTGTACGACATCCCGGACAATACCTTCGAGTCGGACGCCTCGGAGGAGAGCGGAGACGAACAAGCAGACACTCCCTTCGCACCACTCTACTCCTACGGAAACACCAAGAGAATTTAGACCTAATATTATATCTATTCTCTCGTGTACTCCCGTTCTATCATTGTATAGCTGTTAATAGACTCCACATCTTCCGGAAGCGTGGCAATCTGTATAGGCTGCCATTAATATAAGGTTCAGGTAATCAGTATGTATTTCATATTTTTATTCAGCCGAATACAATTTTATAGTCACATTTTGGTTTTTATTTTGATCTGCAGACAGTCTTTTCATATTACTACTTATTCTAGAATCTAGATCATAACTGATAAACTTTTTTATTATCGCTTACAAACAACCAATAACAATACTACACATGTAAATGTATGTTTAAATAAACTCTCAACAATAAATTTTACTAAAACAAAAATGCCACTTGGAGTGTAATTAATCTTTTACAAAATAACAGATACGTGTATTTCTTTAGCCTCCTAATAAATATGAGCTTGTTCTCCCGAGACATCTATTTGTCATTAAATATTAAAAAACGCGACCATTTTTGTACTATTTTTATCACATCTTCGAGTTGTATATTAATTATTTGGTCAAAGTATAAGTAAATGAAATGGGAACAAATAGTGCCACGGGAAAACAGAAAACTTATCGTTTACATAACCACTATATCATTCACGTTTAAAATACTGGAATGCATAATCTTCTCTTTAGGCCTTTTCAATCTTCTCCGTATTCAGCGCTTGTTCCTCGGGTCGCTGCTCTTGTATGTTAGTTGTAACCTCTTCTAAAGTTTTACCTTTCGTCTCTGGTACAAAGAAGTATATAAAGAACACGCCGACGTAGCCTATGAAAGCAAAAGACCAGAAGACCATGTAATGGCCGCAGGCATCTTTCATTTGCTGGTAACATTTTGTGACTAGGAAACTTAGGATACAGGCTAACATTGTGGCTGTACTTGAAGCGACACCTTTGACGTTGACCGGGAACAATTCTGCTTGAAGTACATAAGGTAGGTTCCCGACACCGACTGCGTAGAGTACATTGAACCCTAGAATACCGACGAGTGGCATCCACGAGATAGCCCGTGAAGTTTCTACACTGACTTGTATCGTGTCCTGAAGGAAGAAGTACAGGCCTACCAATGTCATTGCGATTGACACTCCGAGACATGATATGGATAGAAGAATCCGCCGCCCGAACCATCTTGATAAGAATGTTGCACCGATCCCTGAAAATAGAAAAGTATTTTTTATACAAAATATTCAATTTTCTGATATTTTGTGATATGGTTAAGTGAAGATATGACTTTAGCGATATATCTACAGTAAATTTTATATTACATAATTACTTTTCTAGAAGAGCTTCTCTAGACATTGAGAAACATTGTTAGAATATAGTGTACCTAAGAATAATAATTTTAATAACAGCAACAGTAAATAATAATTGTTTCTAAGATGTTACATTACCTGCTCCCAACTGCACGAACCCATACACGATGCTAGCGATGGGCCCCGACACGAAGTTGCTCTGTCTAAATATAGGCTCCAAATAAGACTGTATTACCAGAATACCAGTCATGTACTGCAATAGTTTCAACCCTGTAAACAAAATAAGAGTAAATAGTTGTATACATAACAAAAATGTCCCGTGGTCTGCCTTCTGAAGTTAGGTAAATTATCCATAACATCATCACACCTTTTATCCCTGAAGGTGTAGCAGAGGTGCACATAACGGCACTTAATGCCATTGTGCAATGTAACACCCACTTTTCACTATTTATGTTATGAGTAAACCTATTGTCATATACCGGGCACAACTCCAGGACTATACTAGTAGTAAGATTTTTTAAAACCCAGTAAATTATCCTTGTTGGACTTATTCTATTACTATTAGTCTAGAAATATTACAAAAAGCACTTCATATTAGTTATATTAAAAGGTACATAGATAATTCTATCGTAGAGAAGTTTTTTTCTGCAAATTTCTGTAATACTTAAAAAATACTAAAATAATGTCAATTAAAGCGAAGGAATTTTACTCTCTGATAAGTCACAGCAACACTTCAGAATAAATAAAATAATTAAGATAAAGACGATAAAAATATCATGTGTCATCACATCACACAAATGCAGGCTAGACGTGTAGGTACATCAAACGAATCAAAATACATCCATCAAAATGTACCTTAGTAATTCTTTCAATGTGTACCTTAGCAATTCATTCAATTCTTTCAAAATATTTGTTTTAACTTGTATTAACATAGGTTATTGTTAACAGTAAGTAGATTACATAAATGAAGTTATGAAGTCTCATTTTAATATAGGTACATAATTATACATAACATAACACGCCTTTTATCCCCCGAAAGGGTAGGCAGAGGTGCACATTACGGCACTTAATGCCACTGTACAATGTAACACCCACTTTTCACTATTTTTCGTTATGAGTCCCATGCAATAAATAGGGGGTGAGCCTATTGCCATATACTGGGCACAATTCCAGACTCCACTGAGAATTTCTTAAAACCCAGTAATACTTTGCCCGACCCGGGACTCGAACCCGAGACCTCTTGCCCGGCAGTCGCACTTGCGACCACTTGGCCAACGAGGCAGTCTATACTTAATTATAATATTGTTACAAATCTATTGGATCATAAGTTATGATTCATAACACAATTTGTTCAAAGTAGGTGTGTGTTAAATATATGGTACATCTGGATTGTGGCTCTCTGCTAATCTGCTTACTCTCCGAGGAAATAAAAGAAGTGATTTCATGTTATGTAATAAATATGAAATTCGTTGTATATTTTTATCACTCGCTAGAACATTCCCCATAGATATAGGATCATATTCCAGCCTTAGGTATTTATTTAAAGCGAGAAAATCATCCAATGACTGCTCCCGCCTGGGTGAGGCGGGAGGGAGTGTCGGACTCTTACTGATTCAAAACCACCCCGTTCCTTCTCCTGCTCGTCGAGCCGGAGCCCCGGTTACCCGTTAGGTTCTCCGCGACAGCCTTAGGTATAGGTCAGCAAATGCGAATGAAGTTTGTTAAAAAGTAGATATCTTGTCTCTCCTTTAACGACAGAGTCAAGGTTTTCTAAAAGGCGGAAGAACAAGTTAAACCTTTCTTAAACATGGAATACGGAATTATATTCAAATAAGCACCTACAAACATTGATATAAGAAGGCCTTATCATACTTGTTGCCTTTAGTTACTAGTTATGATAATTATAAAAGATGCGTTGTACCTTGCACAAAACAAAAGTTAAAAATATCTAAAATTATGTACGTGCCTTATTTGAAACAGAAACAGCCTTACCTACTGCGCAACGTCTGTTACTCATCAGCACCAATAGCCTATATATAAATACCCACTACTGAGCAAAGCCTCTTCTCACACAGAGGTTTGAGGATTAATGACCACGCTTACACAATGCGGGTTGGCGATTTCAAACTTAAAATTACAAATTATAAGTCCAGATTTCCTCACAATGTTTTCCTCTACCGTTTGACAATGGTGTATAAATAATCTTAGAAAGTACATATAACTGGGAAAAAATCACATCGGTACTTGCTGTTGATAGATTTTGAACCCGCACCCTCATTCATGAGAATACAGACATATACAAACTTCTTTATTATATATATGCATGAGAAGCATGAAGGTTATAACTCTCATTCTCCACCACGACATTGCTGCTTACAGCATATCGCAGATCCCTAAGGAGATTCAGGTTACTTAGGAACTTAAATACCTACAGATAAAATGTTTTAAACTTCGTTGCATAAAAAAACAATAAATAATTTATCAGGGTAATTAATTGGATCAATGACAGTCACACCAGACTTGAAGGCTTATCTAATCAGCCGGTGTAAGTCAGCCCACAGATGAGAAAGGGTCAAGACTTTAAGAGTCAAGTGAATACTTGCACTTTGTATGACTCATTGTGTGTGGTGCCGTACCTACCAACAATGTGAAAGGCCTAGTTCATGCATGATACATGAATGATAATTATTAAAGCTGACTATCTTGTTAGTCGAATTATGGCAAGTGCTGAAATGCCAAATGCGACTGCCAAACAAGGGCTCTCAAACTCGATGATCGAGCAAAGAATGATTGGATATTTCGAAGAACCTATCACGAAGAATCCTAGGGCGAAACAAAACAAAATAATTGAGGTTAAAAAGTACCTAGATGAGTCCTGCCAGTATATCCTAACTGCTTACTTTAAGAATATATACCGTAACAAATTCAAAGATATAAGGCACCTATGCAAACCTTCAAGTTGAACTAAATTAAAACATCGTACGATGTGTCACGCGAGCCAGTGACCTTATTTCATTTGATAACATTCCACGCTAGACTTTGTGTCGTTACTAGGAGACCGGCGTCTCGTTTCTGGACGGCAAACTCAACTTGGATAGTGGTAATTTAAAAAAAGTATTTTAAAATAATATTTAATGATATTTATGAAATTCCTCACAGAATTTTAATCATTATTATGTTTTTCGGCTTACTCACGCAATTGTTTGACGAGGAACTCGACTATTTTCAAGCCATGCTAGAGGCTCATATTTATGAACAGCATTCGCGGAATAATTACGAGAGTATAAGCAGTAAAACATGATAATTAATTTAGTATGTCTCACTAAAGTTATATATGTATAATATAAATTTTAATCAAGTTCATCATCAGGAGGAGTGGACACATCTAATGAGCCCTAAGTATCTATCTCCCTAACTTGATGTTATGTTTAGTACTCGGTACGGTCGGTACTCGTAAGCAGTCGAAGGTTCCAAAGAGTTTAAAGGTATACCATAATACTATATTATTATATGGTCATGTAATCTATCTATATAGGTCAACTAATCTATAATTGCCAATACAACAATTATAAGTGCGTGTAATTCCGATTGTAAGATTTCATTACATAGTTCGCTACAGGTCGACCTAATTAAAGAGTATTAAACATTATACAATCTTATGTACAAGTTGTTTACTTAATGGGTACTTACATATTTACCTGTGACAATGTATACAGCCTTCCTATACCGCATGTTGGTGAGGAGTTCTCTCAACGTGGTCTTATTTTCCATGCTCTCTCTCACGTGTGCCCGCATTACATTCATCTGTTCTTCTAACAACTGAAATATAAAGATGTTTACTTTAAATAAATTATCATGATCATCAGTAACATCGGCTGTTGCTGCACCTAGACCACCCTTAATAACTTCCAGATCATTCGGTTGGAAAAAATTTGCATGCTGCATCCAGCAGCTTCAACTTAAATAGACTATTTTTTTTAAGGGGGGAAAATCATCGAATGACTGCTCCCGCCTGGGTGAAGCGGGAGGGAGTGTCAGACTCTTACTGACTAAAAACCACCCCGTTCCTTCTCCTGCACGTCGAGCCGGAGCCCCGGTTACTCTTTAGGTTCTCCGCGACTCCGAATCGGCATCGGCCCTGTGGTGGTCTGATGGCTCTTTGAGGCGACTTAAATAGACTTGTATTTTGAATTACACTTAGTTCGACCCGGAAATCTAACCAGGCCTTAATTGTATAGTGGAATGCAAATTACAATAGTAGATAAATATAAGAACATCTTAGTGACAAGAAGTCGGTTCAAATTTAGCACAAAATCGTGAGAAATTAATTTTGTAACACATTCGTGCTGCTTGCAAAATTCAGTGATACGCGTTATCTGTGATGCTATCGTGATAATTTGTTAAGAGAAGGTCGGGTATTTCCATGTTATTTCTAGTCGTCTGCACACTAAATATGTATCAGTTATTTATCTCTATAATAACGATCAAAGTTCAAAACCATCATCAGCCGATATAGGTAGGTTACACCTACTGCAGAATAAAGCCTCAATCCTTAGGCAGATCGCAGTTAGGCGCTCTTTCCTTCCTAGTGAGCAAAAAGGCTTTTTCCCAGCAAAAGGGATAGTTACAGGTGATAATTTGTCGTAATGACCCGGAGGTTTAAGACGCCAGCTTCCCGTGCATGAAGGAACGAGCTGGCACGCACCAATATAACTTTTCCGAGTTATATATAAGTACGTGTACGTGTACGTACTTTCTTAGATTATTTAGATAGGTACTAGCAACATACGGTAAAGGAAGAAGATTTGAGCATTAAACTGTCAAACACCAAGCGGTCACCGGTGACCGCAACCTATTTGTTCTTTAATTGTGTCTATAATGACGGTACTCAACGAGTTAATCACCACCCGGTGATTAATGCTCAAATCTTCTACGTGTAAGAAGAGGTTTTGCTCAGTAGTGGACTCTTATAGACTGCTGATGTGATGATGATGAGGTACAGAAGTAGGCAATTGGTAGATACTCACACTTTCCTCCTGATTTCCTTTAAGTCTCATAAACTCTTTCTTGGCAGCTTCTATTCTTCCATCCTTGAGATGGTAGTAAGGCGACTCTGGTATCCAAAGACACAGCAGGACATAGCAGACGGGTATTATCAGTATGATACAGTTCAAGGTTTTGTATGAAACGAATGGTCCAACGCTGTACACTGTAAGGCTTCCCAAGTTGTTCATCACTTGCACCGTCATACCTAAGGCTCCTCTTATCTCTTTGTCCGATATTTCTGTTACATATATCATTGTTACCTAAAACAAAACAATTTTAGTTATTGACAGAAGCGTATTATGCAAAATAAGGGCAATCGCTTTGCTGTGCGCGGGAAAGGTTTGTACGAAAGGAAAATTGTTTATTACCGAGATATTTAAAATGTTCCAGTTATGAAGTACATAAGTGTACTACAATAAGTCTATATTGCACAATTTTTAAGACAGGAATAGCTTTGATTTTTTTTTAATTATGGCTTAACCGCTAAATATTAAGGTTGTCTTAAATGTGCTGACTACATGAAAATTCGTACACACACAACAGTTTCGTATACCTATTCCTGGCAAACTGCCTAAATCCAGTTCCATCCCAAAATATAAACATTTCTGAATCATTCACTACACCACAATTATTTTTATTATGTAAACGAAATATCTATTGTAGAGAGGAAATATTTGTTGATTTGTTTGTTTCATCGAATAGTTTTCGAATCCACTGCACCGATTATAAAAACACTAGCTTTTACCCGCGGCTTCACTCGCATCACAAAAGGATAAAAAGTAGCCTATGTGACATATATAGGCTTGCCAGACCGCCGGGAAATCCGGGATTGTCCCGGAATCTAGCCTCTTGTCCCGTGTCCAGGAATTAGCGCTCATTGTCCCGGATTTTGAAAAGTTATTATTTTTTAACAAAATAAACTAGCAACGAATGGAATGACATGGCTGCCGGTGAGCGAGTGCGAGCGAGCTTAATAACAAAACATTATGTACCAAAAAACAAGGTACCGATCGTTTTTTAAGTGGGAATTTTTTGATATAAGATTTATTTAAAGTACATAGTATCTTATTATTATTGTTTTATTCTTCAGTTTATTACTATTTCATTTATAATTGAGTAATTGTCTACCAAAGTTTTAATTTACCAATTTAAGCTAATTACATACCTACAGCTAATAAAAAATAAAATGGCATTTCATCTATTAAATATAAATATGAATCCTTTGAAAATAAATATATGATTTTTTCTATTATGGCCACGACCCCACATTGTTTTTTTTTTTTAGAACTGTCCCGGATTTGATAAGTTCCTATCTGGCAACCCTAGACATATACCAATACATACAGCGCCATCTATACCAATACTTTTGTTTTCCCTCGGGAATACAAAATTTTTCCGGGATAAAAAGTACCCTATTATTTAATCCGGACATCTGCAAAAATTCAAAGCAATCGGTTTAGTAGTTACGACGTGAAAGCGGAACAAACAAACCAACAAACAAACTCACTTTCCGATTTATAATATTATATATAGTAAGGATTTTACGTTTGAAAAGTCTTGTATCCAAAGTTTAACCAATATTCCTACAGGATCGAGACTTACTTACCTACTCAAGCGAATTAAGAAAGAAAGATATTGAAAAAGACAAATTAAGGTATATCAGCTTACCACGGCTATAATACCAGTTGCGAGTCCCATCATGAACCTGGCCACATACATCAGTTCAGGCATTGTCGTGTTCAGTAAGAGAGTCTGGAAGCAAGAAGACAAATTATAAGAATATTCATTATAGTAGGTAAGGTACTATACACAATATCTTGCTACTGTAGGCAAATGAGCTAATATTTACTCCATAGTGATAATAATATCTATCAAGGTGTTTGAGAAATCTTAATTATGTGGGTAAATAGGTACCATTATCATACATACTGAATAACAAATCAACCTTACGCGTATCTCCCATGGGGGTAGGCAGAGACTATGGGAGGCCAATAGCTACGATTTTTACACACACCTCTTTCGCTTCATCAACAGTCATCAATCTTTTCATGCAAGCTCATCGGTTAATGGTACTTTTAATTCGGCCCTTCTTATATCGCCAATCTGGTCAGTAGTCAGTACCTATATGTCGTCAGTATGGTCGTTCAGGGCGCCCTCTACCAACGGCCCCATCCATATCCGCTCTGTATACTTCTTTCGTTACTCTACTTTCAACTATCCTTTATTTGCAATAATTTGTTATTTTTCCTCAAAAGTTAAGTAAGAGACGTATTTTATAACACATGCACCTACTTAACTATCAGTCACAAGTAGGTACACCTTGTTATGTGTATGGTAATTATGTGATAGCGTCGATATATTTGTATTATAAGTTATAATTCAAATTATAACTTTCGTGAGACATACTAAATAAATTATTATGTTTTCCGGTTACTCACGTAATTATTTGATTTGACAAGGAACTCGACTAGTTTCAAGCCATGCTAGAGGCTCATATTCATGAGCAGCATTTCGCGACCTGCGACGCGGCGACTGTCGCGCTGCTACTGAATTATGAATGTTGCTCATGAATATGAGTCTCTAGCATGGCTTGAAACTAGTCGAGTTCTTAGTCAAATAATTACGTGACACGTCAGTAAGCCGAAAACATAATAATTTAGCGTAGATACATATTTACCATGTTCCCCCAACTTCTTTCTCCTAGCGTTTGGCTAGTTTTCGAGATGGGCACTAACTTTGTGGGTTTTCTTTTCTTTTCAAATACTTCGTTACTATTATAATAATCAAGTCTTAAGTCCCAAAATGAGACAAAGTGTCTATAGAGGTCCACATGCACTAAAGTCCCTACCTCTATTAATCTACTTATATGTATATAGGTAGTTCATATACTTATCTCAAAATATATAGGTAATTCATTTACTTCATGATTCACTTCACAGTCTCAGTAAACAGGTAGTATGTAATAAACAAAATAAAGGAAAGAGCCAGATGGAACGTACCGCACCTAAGAGGCCCGGCACGGCTGAGCCCAGGAATGTACGGCGACGTCCAGCCCTTTCATTTAACACTTGCCCGAAGTAGCAACCGAGGAGTGCTCCCGCGGAGTGCAGAGACACCACCCATGATGTCTGCGTCTGTGTACAAACAATTTAACAAACACTCTTCAGCTTTATACGTATAAGATTAATACAGCGTCAATTTTAATTTTTTCCGGAGCTAAATGATTTTGGAATAAAAATAGTAGAATTGTGAAGGAAAAAATAGACTGGAAAACGACCTCGATACTAATACGTAAATACGGCAGTGTGGGCGGCTTGTTATAGTTATGTATGAGGTCGTTACCCCCGCTCTTGTCAATCAGCTGATATTGAGCGGCTATTTTACGAATTAATCTTGGACACTATTAAAAAAATACCTTACTAAGTATTAAGGCCCTCCTTTGGTATTAAGATAGGTACTGTTTTGTCGCGGGGTACTTAATAATAAATTTATGTTATACATTGGAGCGACTATTTTTTTAAACTGTCAAACACCAAGCGGTCACCGGTGACCGCAACCTATTGTTCTTTAATTGTGTCTATAAATACGGTACTCGAGGAGTTAAGATTAATTTGGGTAGATAGGTACCTACTTTATTATATAGAGACCAGCCTATGTGACGTAGGTATAAACTTAGTCAAAAACCTTCACGGTCATATCATAGTAGGGATGATGATAATGATTATTAATAATTAATGAATAAACGAACAACAAAGCTACGTGGATGCAGGAAGGTAGTATATACAGGACATGACTAAATGATAGATATAAGACTAAAGACATTAAATCGTTCACAATTAATTAGTTACAATGTATAGCCCAAAGGGAGTGGACTTCGAGCATTAGACTCCACAAATCTATTGTCTCAGTTTAATAATACCAATGCTCATTACTCGGTTGAATGACGTTCGGACATTCAAACTATTAACGAGCACCGATGAAATATCGATCTTCGTAAAGATATCGATCCCCGATGCCTATTATTATTTCGAATACCTAGTCGTTGTTTTCACGTAATAATTGCACGAGACGAATTGACATTGAAATGTATTAGGCAAGGCTACTATGCAACTGTTTATCGTGAAGCTATATTCATTCGATTACTAATAAAATACTTACATCAGTGATAACAACATTCGCTTCACCACTTTTGAACTTTGGAATCGCCGGTGACGACCACGCCAGTGTAGCTCCAGTAAATGTAAATGAGAACGCCGCTGAAGTTTAAAATAATTCATTTAAAGAACACTTCATTTCAAATTTTCGCGCTACAAAATGTTTACTCACCACACACGCCCGCCAAATATTGCACTTTTCTATTCGTTTTATTCGACATTTTGTTTCTTATGAAACCAAGAACACTCAATAATAATTGTTACTATTTTGTAACGTATAGAACAATTTCTTATCTAAATTAAAACGGTGGAAACAACTAAACACTAACAACAACGGACGCGTATCTCAATAATCAACTGTCAGGGTTGCGCCGACGCCGACGGCCGGTACGATAGGTACAATATAAATGACATTAGTGTGCGAGTAGGCGGGAATACTGTTCAACATCGACTGAATTCACAGTATCTAAACGCGGCAGAACTAACACTATCTGTCGACACACCTTATCATCGTTGTATACTTTATTGAGAGGGAAAGCTAAAAAACATGTCTTTGTTTCCACGTACGATAAAACTGTTGACACTATGCGCCTACTACAGTAATTCTCATTTGTTTCAACACTACAATGACATCTTATTCTACCCCCACTTCATAGTATTAATCAGAGGGCTTAGTACCTACGACTTTGTTTTACTTTTAACGAGATCGAAACGTTACTGCATACGGTTGCACTCTGATCGGTTGGTTCATTGCAGGAGGCCATTTGATTGGCCTGCTCCCAAAAGCCCCCAGAAGAAACACAGAAGAAATCTTACGAGTTTGTACTAAGCCTTCATAAGTTACTCTACATTTACATAAATTTATACATGCACAAAGCATTGATTTAGACACTTTTAATTTTAATCAAGAAAAACTATAACTTATCTATTTTAAAAACTGAACAAAATAATTAAAGTATGTATTGTATAATCCTTACAAAATTGATAAAAAAGTTGTATCGAAAAACCATTTTACACACATCTTATGCTTCAGAATGTTAAATAAAACACAATAAGTTACTCATAATAGTTATTTTGGCTGAAAGTTTTTAGGCATGGTATCAATAACATTTCTTATTTGCATAGCAACAATTGGGTTATCTGCACTTATATCAGTTATCTTGTACGGCTTCAATAGAGTTACATTTCCTATGATTATTTTATCATCTATTTCTGTAACTGGCAGTAAATTAGTTTTGAACCAGGAAATAAGTTTTTCTTTTCTTTTTAATATTTCTTCTGGTGTGTCTGCATGGTTTTCTTTCTTCTGTGGAGGTTTGATGTGATCCATTAACTCTTCTTGTGTAATGTCAAGCACAGCATGGCCCGGAACTATTATTGTTTGATGTCCATTATCATGAGGCACGGACAGGATAATACTGAAAAAGAATATTTATTTTTCTTTAGTCCATTTTGCCATATTATATTTAGAGACATTAACAGACTGCTCAGTGGCCGAGTGAACCCTAGTGCGACTGCTGGACCATGGGTCTTGGGTTCAATTTACGGGTTGGGCAAATATAACAGGGTTTTCAAAAAAATTGCAGTAGTACTACAGAGTTCAGAAATATGCCCTATGTATGGCAATAGGCTTACCCCCTATTACATGGGATTCATAACATAAAATAGTGAAAAGTGGGTGTTACATTGTACAGTGGCATTAAGTGCCATAATGTGCACCCCTACCTACCCTTTCAGGGAAAAAAGGTTGTATGTTATTTTATAAGATATTTTTCACAAAAATGTTATTAGATTATATAATAGAATTATTTTATTTGACTCGCATATACTCCTGTAAGTGCATATAAAATGTACTAGCTACACTAAAACAAACTAAGTGAAGTTTTGTTACATTATGATAAGTTTACAACTATTGTCTTCCAAGGATATTATAATTTGCAGTCAAAACTCTTAACCAGTCAAAACCAATTTTAACCAATACCATTGGGCAAAAGTAATTTCAACTATTATTTTTGATCAAAAGTACATATTGACTTTTGTACATTTTGACCACATGTGGTCAAAGCATGTGGTCAAATGTTTATAGTCAACTAACTGATTTTGATAGTCAACTAATTTTAAAATATATATTTATCTAAAATTTTACTTTAAATCATTTTCCTGTTTTTAATATAATTATAATTTTACTTTTGTCTTAGCTGTTCCCTACTTAGTCACTATTTGTGTGAATCTGCAAGTAGCTCAATGTTACAATTTTTCTATTAAATTTGTTGTTGATTCATCATGAAATAAATTAATAAATAGTACTTTGGACTGGTAAAGAGTTTTGATTGCAGCATACACACACAAACAGAACAATGGAAACAAACTTTAACTGACTTTATTAAATAAAAGTTAGAATTTTACCATAGTTTTAAGATTAATTTACCTGTTTGTTACTGGGTCAATAGAGTGCACGAAACCGACATAAGCGCAATCCTTAATAAGTTGAACTCTAACATAAGTATTCACGAGTTTTAATAACGCTTTCGGATTTTTTTTAATGGAACTGAACTTGGTATTTTCATTATTTACAGCCTCATCCATGTTTCTTATTATTATAAAACAACTGTAAATATTAAGGCAAGAGTAAGGCTTCGTTTATTAAAATTGCAATATCAAAACGAGAAGAACATTTTGTTTTATGCTATTACATTTCAAGGTTAGAAAAGAGCAAGAGCAAAACAACGCGTTTTTTTTATACAACTGTCCACAGAGCATGTAAACTGTCAATCTGAAAACAAAATCCACAGACAAAATCATAAAAATTTGATGTTAACAGTACAAAAAAAGATTTAGTTTATGGAACAGGTCCAACACTTTACCAAATAGTTTCTCATCCTTCATTGCGTGATACAAAACAAAATGTAGAATAGAATTAGACGTGAACCTAAATAAATTATTTAATACTTAGTTCCCTTAACTCTTACACTACATTTTAGGTTATGTCTGGGGATTTCCCCAATTTGCTCTTGTTTATCAGGGTTTTGATACCTCTTTACATTATTCACACAAGGGACTTACAATTTATTTTTAGAACAGTAGGTAATAGAACCATTTTTATCGATAACGATTTTTTTTCATTGTTGGCCATATAGGCTATAACCTACACGTAGGCCAAATATTTGGTTAAATAAAATGAAGCCTCCCGATCGTTTTCAATAATGGTTCATGGTGACTGCCATGGTTCAGGAATCAGGACTTCAATCAAACTATATTAGTTCAAAACAGGAGATATTAAGGCGGCTCTAGACATAGGGCCAGCGCGTTGGCCGTTTTTGAAACTTTTGAAAAAATACAATTTTGTATGATATGATTTATTTGGACAATATTAGTATTTTTATTTTTTCAAGAACATAAAAAATAAGTACCTACTCGCTTTTATTTACAAAAAGTTATAATGGCAACATTGAATACTGATTTCCTGGATTTCCCTAAAACTTGAGTTTGTACTTTGTATCTGCTGGGAACACCAATGTCACCTTTATCTCGTGTACGATAAGGTTCAATATTAAAATACTGATGTTATATTTTCAGACAAGTTCTGACTGAACACGTCACATGATTCGTGCATTTATATATGAAGCGAGGTTTGCTGCGCCGCAGACGCCAAAATATTCTTGAGATAGCAGAGTGCATTATTCGCGATCGTGTCTTTGTTCCTCAAGCATCTAATTCTACTCAAATAACACAAAGGTAAGTTTCAATCAAGTATATAACTTATTATTATATCGTATCTCGAACATCTTCCGTTTCTACAAAATGGCGTACCGGTTAGGCTGTTTTGTTTTCCCCGAAAATCAAATGGTACTTAGATTTAATTGATAGGTAACCATTGTGAAATAAATTCAAGTCGTTTTGTAATAGATAGGTCCTACACAATTGGACAATAAGTTCTAAATTAAAATAAATTAGGTGTACAACTTTTAGCCTGGCTACATGTAACCTAAATCCTTCATGGGAATCACTCAATATGATACCTACTTATAACAAACAGCCACCAATTCCTCAAAATAATAATGTTAACAATAGAAATCATTAAAATTTTGTTTAAATCTGAATATTTTTCAATCGCTACCATTGATTTGTCGATTCAACAAAGAGCACTTTCGATTTGACGAGCATTTTTTATAAAACTCATTGGAAAGGACAATGCAAGAGGCTAAACAAATTAAAGATAAAGATATTTTATTTCGCAAATATGGGTACATATCATGGTAGTGCATAAGTTTCTTTTTTAGTAACTAAACTCTATTGTTCTCGTTCATTTTTATATTTAAAGTTTTTTTTTTCTATCACTTAAGTAATTAAATGTTGGTTAACCTATAATTGGTGATTGTATAAGCCTAAATACTCAATATTACTTTCATATCACTTAATGCTATGTATACAGAAGCTGTTGGTATACCTATTTAAATAAATAAATAAATAAAAAATACAGAAACAGCCATATTTTGCCAATTATATATAGGCATGCAAAAGTTTTACATATTTTACAATTCAAGATAATAATTCTAAATAATATCATTCAATAACTGATTACAATTTATGTACTTATAAATTATATTTACTTACATTCTTTGTTTATTCTTTATTCCGTATACTTATAGGTAGGTACTTATGTGAAGTTATAAGGTGTAAGAACTGAACTAGGTAAGAAGACCAAGGGGTGACTTTTCAATCATCAGTTGATTCTTAACTGTAGAATAAAATGAACATATAACAGTGTTAATATGGAAGTATTGTCAAATATTCCAAGTTATTCCCCAGTCATTTATATGGCGTCGGAAAAATCAGTCCTAGGAAGGGTAGGGAGTAGGGTTGCCACCCGTACTTTATAAGTATTGTACGTTATTTAAGGTAATTGTACTCTATACTTTATAAGAATAATTAAGTACACGAAAATACTTTATTTTTGCAAACTTCATTTCTATTAAAGTCGTAGGTATTATTCGGTAAACTTATCGATTAGATATCAATATTTATCGATTTATGTTGAATCGATAACTCGCCAACGCCACTTAGACAATTTCTAGTAAAGATGTAATTGTTTAGTATTTCAATGCAATTGTTTAGTAAAGATACTAATTTAATACAAACTGCCAAAAGCAATAAAAATATTTTTTTAAATATAATACTAAATAAGAATAAATTGTACTTTATTTTTGTACTGTGTACTTTT